TTCTGTCATACTTTATCTTTTATATCTGTCATACGAGCGCCTACGAGACTGCAGGAATACTTCACGCATCGCGCCAAACCTGCATTTGCTAGTCTGCGTGAAACGCATATTGACGGTGTAAGGCGGCAATTACACACCTTGGTTTGCGACGTCGCGCGTTGCCGACTTCCTGTCATACTTTATCTTTTAGCGGAAAACAACTCAACAGAAATCCTTTAAAACTGCCGTGATTTTTCTTCTCTGTGCTAAGAAAATTCTACAAAAACTTCAAGGAATGATGTCAATATTTGTTCTCCTAACATAGAGACGGAGATTTTCAGACACCGCAAACGAGATACGTGGTTGCGGACTCACGCAGCGCCGTCGATGTCACTATTGCTGTAATTGAAAATCTCTGATTCCAATTTTTTTATTTTATTTAATTTTTACATTTTAACACGCGCATTTTTGGACGGATTTATTGACGCAACCGCGTTGTGCCAAAAAGAAAACCAGAACTACAAAAACGTGACAACCAGAATACCCGTTGAATAAGAGCGAGGGTTTTTTTTCCTCGATGTTCGAATTCCTGAGGGATGGTCATTCCTGCATGCGGGTTTCATGACATTATGTTGCCTCGTAAATGTTGGTGATTGCTCCGCGAAGTCCAGTGGCGTGGCGTGCTTTGCGACATATCGATTTATTTGCCTTTTAAACCTATGGGAAAGGATCGATAGAACGGGTGTTCGCAGCGAACACCTTAATAATCGATTCTTTACCATAGCTTCAAATGGAGAAATATCGATAATCGATCATTCACGCCTCGCCACTGTCAAAGTCGTGTCCGTCTCAGATGTACCCGTCACATCTTCGACGAATCCTCATCCTTTGTTCCGAAACACGTGTAATTTTGTCGCTCCTCTGACGTGAGAGCGTACCTGTATAATCACATGAGCCCTGGGAAGCGCAGAATTTTACAGAGAACAGGGCTTGTAAAGATATTGAGTTACGCTTTAACGTCAGAGGAGCAACGAATTCGTTCGTGATTTGATCTAACAAGTCCGAAAATGGAGATGTTGCATGTGTGAGGAATTTGCGATTTGACTGTTGATTCTAATGCAAAAGTTCGCGAGAAACACGACGGTGCTGCTGGTTTTCTCTGAAATCAACTCCCAAGCTCAAAAAAAGCTCTCAAGTTGAGGCCAAAATGGTGGGGATATCCCACGCTATCCTGAGATTCCACCTCTACATCAAGACGAACTCTCCATGCACAGATAGGGAGCAAATACATTGACAGGGCTGCCACTTTATATGGGGGACTCCAAAACTGAAAACACGGCAACCCTGCTAATGTATTTGCTCCCTATCTTTACACGGAAAGTTTGTCTTGATGCAGAAGTGGATTCTCAGGATAGCGTGGAATATCCCTCCATTTTGGTCTCAAATTGAGAGCTTTTTTAAAGTTTGGGAGTTGATTTTGATTCAAGCAAAAATCCGAGGAAACAAGAGAAGGTATTTTTCTTTTCAAATATTTCCTGGCGTCGTTCCGTTGCGGGTGTAATTTAGTCTACGAAAAATTGAAAAAGTTTACTCGCGGTCGAATTTTTGCGAAAGCCCTATCAATAGGTACTACTAGCAAAAGTTAACGAAACTTTGCGCAAAAATTAAGTTCCGTAAACCTATCTCTGTGTGGACAATGTCTTGCATTTATAAGAAATGAACGAAAATATTGCGAAAAGAACAAACATTAATGGGGGTTAATAATTTCAACTTCCGCTTCCACGCCGCGCTGACTGCACCGTGTTAGACGCAATGCGTGAAGTATTCATGCAGTCTTGTAGGCGCTATGCGTTTCACGCCGACCGCCGCTGACCGCACTGTGTTCGACGCAATGCGTGAAGTATTCACGCAGTTTTGTAGGCGCTACTAGGTATGTCTTACACGCCGACCGGCGCGCCGAGGGCTTCTTTTTATCTCAAGTCCTCGTCATCATTGCTCTCTGCGCCGCGCCGCGCTGTCTCTTGTAATCACCGAAATACGACAAAATAGAAATTACTACACTCTCAAGAAATGAGAGATTTTGTTGCCTTGTTTCGTTTGTACTTTTTTCTGAATCCGATTTTTTTAGACCCACATTTAAAAAAATTGCAAAATTTGCCGCCATGGGCCGCGGCCCATGCGGCCACCCCCTATATCCGGCCCTGCCCTGGTAAAAATTGGCAGTAGAATCTGTGTTCCAAAATACCATAGACCTACAGCCGGCTGTAAGATTTCCAATAGCTTCTATAACCGGCAACACAATTTCTTATAGCCTTTTATAGCCGATGGCGACTAAGCAACAGCCTGGCGATAAAGTGTATGCTAAACGTTACTAATTACAGATGCTAGGACTTAGTGAGTTTTTGGACTACCCCTCTCTTTTTGGACCGGAGTATCTTGATTTATTTTGCGAGGAAAGCTCCGCACTTTTGAAGGATGCCTGCCATGCCTAACATGTTGGAGCGCCTGCAATTTTGTATAATACTGTGCAATACCTCTGTTGTGAAATAGTTGCTTCAAGCGCCGTGGTACGCTGCGGCGCGGCGGGCGGGCAGCCAGCGCAAAACGCGCATTGGCGCCTTTAAACCTATCAGGGATACTTCAAGCATTGCGCAATGCGTCAAGTATCCCTGTTAGGTTTGAAGGCGCCAGTGCGCCGCCGCTCCGCTTTGTGTTAAGCTCTAATATTTAATCTCGTGGAGTCAGTGTTTGTCAACTCATGACTTTGAAATGTTTGCACACTCTGTATGGATTATTCTCATTTTAATTGATGAAAAAAATATGTAATAAGGGAAGATATAATGTGCGTTTTGTAAATATTAAGGTGATTCCGCACACACTTAAGGATTTAAGAGGCACAAGAATTTCTACACAATTTCTTATAGCCTTTTATAGCCGATGGCAAAAAAGCAACAGCCAGGCGATAAAGTGTAAAGACCGGCGATAGGAACTATTTTATCGCTTCGTGTGGCCCGGCCGTATAATTCTTTCCACTCTCTACATCCAGCTATATGATTTTCTATCGCCTTCTTCAGTCGGCTATAAGAACTCCTATGGTATTTTGAAACGCAGCTCCTATCGCCAATTTTTACCAGGGTGCTGCCAGCACCACAGACTCATATCGATGGAAAAACTATGAAATCACGTATCCCGATTTGCGGCGTTGGAAATTTTCTGCAACACTTTTAAGGATAATCGATACACCATTATTGCATAAACTTTCGTTTTATTTTCCGGTGTCCTTGAAAAATGTTGCAAAAATTGTATAGGAAAACTCTCACTAGAGAATTTTGAGCGGTCCATTGGAACTCAATGCCACGGTCACGAAGAAACCATCACAGGGACACCCCGAGCGCAAAGCACGCCCCCCCCCTTCCCACCTCAGGAGCTCGTAATGGAGCCCTCATTACATTAATTGCAGCGACGAAGGAAGACCGCGGCGAGGGATTTTTGATTTCTTAGCAGCCGCCCGGAGGGGGGAGGGGGGCGCTGGGGGCACGGGGACAGGTATAATTGTTTAACTGACCGTGCTCTATCTGGACGGGGCTAGGCGATAAATTATCATGTTGCGCCTACAAGAATCGGTTTGGCTGGTCCCGCCGCTATTTTCAAGTAATTTACAGCCGCAATGACGCGATAAATTTGACCGCGCTTAGCCGTGGCGCTGTTGCCGGATCTCGGAGCGACCCCAGCGGCAGAATGGAGATGTTGCATGTGTGAGGAATTTGCGATTTGACTATGGATTCTTCTGTGAAAGTTCGCGAGAAATACGATGGTGCCACTGGTTTTCTCTGGGATTAACTCCCAAGCTCAAAAAAAGCTCTCAAGTTGAGGCCAAAATGGAGGGGATATCCCACGCTATCCTGAGAGTCCACCTCTACATCAAGACAAACTCTCCATGCAAAGATACGGAGCAAATACATTGACAGGGCTGCCACTTTACTTGGGGACTCTAAAACTGAAAACACGGCAACCCTGCTAATGTATTTGCTCATGTATTTGCTCCCTATCTTCGCATGAAGAGTTTGGCTTGATGTAGAGGTGGACTCTCAGGATAGTGTGGGATATCCCCTCCATTTTGGCCTCAACTTGAGAGCTTTTTTAGAGCTTGGGAGTTGATTTCATAGAAAACCAGTGGCACCATCGTGTTTCTCGCGAACTTTTACAAAAGAATTAATAGTCAAATCGCAAATTCCTCACAACACATGCAACATCTCCATTCAACTCTGTTTTTTTTTTTTTTATTTTTTTTTATTTTTAGGTAGTTCTATAGCAGTTGGGAGAAAGATTCGATAGGCGATGGACAAGTCGACAATATATGGGTTTTAAGACATTTTTCAACAATTTCTGAGCATCACACCATGCTGAAGTGCGTCAGATGCGTCATACCTCTGTTGGTACATAGAGGGTCATTCAAAAGTCAGGCACCACTGGCCATGAGGGTGGCCATTTGAAATTTTTGAGTTGCCCTCCGCCCCCCGAGGGGATAAAAAACTGGAAAATACCTAAAAAAGTTTCTCCCTCGATATGAGGAAAAAGGCTTTAAACCGCAAGTCGATATCATAATTAGAACTAAAGTTATGGCCAGTGGTGCGTGACTTTTGAATAACCCTGTATATCAAGTATCGAGGGTGAAACTGCAAAAATGCGTACCTATCCCGGTTGCAGTATTGGGAAATCTCCGCTGCTATTTTACTTTTGAAAAGAGGACCGAACCAACATCATGGATCGAAGCTTTCACAGAATATTTTTTTTAAGAATAGAAAAATCACTGAAATTATCAAAACATGATGCTGTACAGTAGTTTTCTACATGGAAACTGAAGTACGACAGGAAATCTGCATGCAATGCCGCAAACCGATATACGCATTCCTGCAGTTTTACCATCGAAAAATGAATACAAATAAGAAGAATATCGATGGCGGTGTTTCAAAATATCCCCTCCTTTATTTTTTCGAAGGGGAATAAGTCAACTTCATGACTTGAAATGTAGACAGAATTTATTCTACTAACAGAGAAGAAAAATCAAGGATTGAAGTTGTCATGATAATGCGTTGACTAGTTTTCCGAGGAAAAAATTAAGTGTGACTGGAAGTGGAAGTGAAAGTCTGCAACGTCACAAACGGGGCTACGCGGTCTCGCACTTTGGCCATCGCTACGCTTGCAACTCGTTTTTTAAAGTAGAAGAGAGCATTCTTTGTCAATAACTAAAACTTTGATTTTTATTTACTCATCGTCAGTTATTGATATGAATTATTTTCCTGAAAAATTTGCTTTTTATGCAACAGTATCTCTTATTCTGTACACAATCACATGTCATGACATTTCGATAATGAAATTTCTAAGCCAAATAAGTATCTCAGTCTGCGACGTTGCATACTTCCTGTCATCCTTTAATTTTCAAATGTAGTCTTACTGTCGATTTGTGGCCAAGTATAGACTACTTAAGGTTGAATTAAGCAGTTTCTGCCCTTAATTTGTCTTCATTTACAGTGGTTGAGTAAAATGTTCTGACTCTCCCTGTACTTGTTAATTGAAGTGCTTCGTGTGAGGAGGTTATTTCTCAGATGTGGAGTTTCAGTCTCTGTCACTAATTTATGTCTCAGAGAATAATTTAATGGGTTCCTTGCAGAACAAAGCTGAATCATGAAGAATATTCAGAAAATTTTTTAATGAAGTTTATGCAATTGCTTCCCTTTCCATGAATGAAGTATTAGTGGTAATTCTGAAACACTGCAATTCAAAAAAACCCTTCTCACATCCAGCACCTCAATTGGACGCATTTCTATCAAACAGAACTATGTGCAGGTGGGAATGATGGGGTGTGATCGTTAGTGCTGGGGTCATAAGAATGAATGGGAAATACAAAGCGCCGGTGATGGAGCCGCCTTCTCGTACTGGTCATTAACTCATGAGTCCAGTTCACAACGCTTTAGACACATGCTTATGGCTTATACACTTTGCACATAGTTCTATTTGACAGAATGTAAAATCCTGCTTTTCCAATTCAGCAAACGAAATTGTGAGCCAACTGAATGCGGCACCCATGAGCCATAGGTATGTGTCTAGAGCCTTGTGAACAGGGCTCATGAGTTAATGACCACTACAAGGAGTTTCGACTCCTCAAGGAGGCTTCGTCACTGGTGCTTTATATTTCTCATTCATTCTTATGGCCTGAGCACTAACAAGCAGACCCCACCTTCCCCACCTGCACATAGTTCTGTTTGATAGGAATACGTACAATTGTAGTCCTACTGTTGGTTATTTGATATGACGTAGATAGAGATACATAAAATAATGTCTGGAAAATGAAGTTTTATAAAAAATACCTGATTTTTAGTAACATTGGTCGAATTTAGACCTGTAGTCACCTTGTGGTTAACAAGAATGTCACAAGTTAAAACAATCTTACAAAATTACAAAAATAAAAATTTACAAAATATTGGAAAAACTTTAACAAATCAACAAGACACTGGTAAAAATTAATTTAATACTTAAAAACAAGAGGGCACTGGGGCTTCTATGTTAGTCCAAGAGTTTTTCCTTGAGATACTCTAAGATTGTTGGCTTCCACGAATTGAAATTGAGGCCATCTAATATCATAGACTCTGGTATGAAGTTCTCCACAGGCGGTTGTTTCCTGAAACAAACAGTAATCGGCAGATGAAAAACTGAACGGACATACGGCATAAGAAGCAGTTTTGAAAAATGAGCTTTGCAGGTTCATTGGTTATGCAATTATTTCATTTGCTCAAATATCTTGACGTCTAAAGCTATTGCATACATGGGATGCATTTGAGCAAGCTTTACATTGGTGAAATCTCATGAATATCAGAATGAATACATCATAAAATAAATTAAAACATGCAAACCTTGCTTCATTCATATTTCGAGTTTTTAAATTTACCTCAATCTAGATACATTTTCTCAATTTCTAGTGTTCAGGTTTGCTTAAAACAGAGATATACGAGCACCAAACCTCAGGAAACAAATTTATGACTATTAAAAGTCATTCTTACAAGTGATATGTATTTTCCTGTATTTTTATTTTTCATAATGATTCTGTATTTTTTGTTACGTAGTATTTCTTTGCACAGTTTTAATTTTAATTAGTTTTGTTTTACCTCTTTTGTTTTTTTAACACTCATGTAGAACACTCTTTCTGTACTTGACTATTTAATGTGAGTATGAGCAATTTTTTGTAGTGCCTAATTAATTTCTGTTGGTAGCCAGACCCATAATTGGAATGATCTCTGTTCGAAGGGCAAAAGTCCAAAAAATCATGAGCCCTGGCTTTCGTTGATCACGCAGGCCGCTAGGGCTCATGAGTTTTTGAACTTACTCCTGTCAACAGAAACTGATTCAATTTTTTTGTGTACTTTTTTGTGTTAATAAGCTATGTTTCAGGATCCTTTTGGTCCTTTACATATTTCTGTAAGCAAAAATGCCATGAATAAATGAATAATAATGATTTCTACTGTTTTAGACATTTGTTTCTGTTTCCCCCCCCCTTTTTTTTTTGTAAAAATGTCAAACACTCAACGTGCTTTTAAGTGACTGAGAACATTTGTTAGAATGACAGATAAGATTATACATGATTATTAGGCTACTCAGGTTAGATTCTCTGATAAATATTTATCTCTCTCAAGAGATCTAACTGCATCCTTAAAGGAAAATGAGGGGAAGAGGAAAAATTTGAAAATGACTGATATAAACTACGCAAATCTTGCGTCTCATAGTTTGTTTTCCAGAAGCATTTTTTAGTAACAGAAAAAAATAAGGTTTCTCTTTTAGATATTGGAAAATTTTTTTACATTTTTATGAAACAGCAAATGCTACTGACAGCATTTTTCTAAAATACTTTAAAGCTTGGTTTTTATGATCAAAATTAATAGGCACATCAAGGGTTTGATCAACATGAATTGGAAACAGAGTATCAAAGACCATTTATTTGATCTTTGAGATATATTGCTAACTGAGCTTTTCGTGACAAGACATACATTTTTAAAAAATACAACTGCAGGTAACAAGGCTGAATAATAACACATTTACCAAAAGACGTTTGGGCTAGAAACACCACAGCCTTCTCCCCTTGGATAAAAATATAAATACCAATGTAAAATTGCATTGGATTGTACCTTTCCAAACGAGACAACATTATGAACCAAAACGATGTTTTTATTTGATACCCTGTCTGTGACTTATGTTGATCAAATATTAGGGGTTCCTTTAAATTTTGATCGGCAACAGGCGCATCCATAACCCATTTTGACTGTGGAAACCGAGTTTCAGAATTAAACTATTCAAAGTAAAACCTTACAAAAAGAGAATCAATTTTGTAGCCTGCTGAATATTCTGTTCTCCTTCATTGCACACTTCTTTAAATTCAGAGATGCTTTCTTCCAACTTCAACTGATTGTTTAGCTCTAACGACTTGGTGCTTTCGATTAGATGGTCCACATTGAACTCTGCAAAAGTAAACATGACTTAGAACAATTCGGCAATCAGGAAAGCTCAAAGTAACAAGGGTAAAAAGAGGCAAATGGATGTATTTCTGCCAAGCGGAACTATGTGCATTATGACGTGAGCCCTGTTATGCATATATTCTTATGGGTCTTAGGGCTCATGTCTTAATGCACATTGTTTCGTTAGGCAGAAATACGTCCAAATGTGTTCGTGGATGTTAACTTTTATACTCTCTTGTTTCTATCCGTCTCTGCATTTGAAGACCAGATAACAGGGTACTTGTAAAAATAATGATTAGAGTCCCTTTATACCCAGAGTTAAGACAACTCACTTTTGGTTCGGCTGAAAGTGGCCTAAAAAAAAATCCAATTCTGATTGGTTCTCGCTCATGGAGGCCGAAACGAGTGCACCAAGATGGTGGTACCTCGAATGTGAACAAGAATAATGAAAATATTACCTAATTGTGGTTTATCAAGAGTAAATTTCTATTTCCATCGGTCTAAAATGAAAATAGATTAAGAAATTATTCACAAACCAATCTAATTTTCGTTTTAATTGATCAATTTGTTGATGTTGTTGTTTTTGTGTGACAGACATCGCAGGATTCCTGATCCTTATCCCTCAATATCGTTCGTTTCGGTGCACTCGTTTCGGCCTCCATGGCCAGCCAAGGCCGGCTGCCAGTCAGCTGATAATCGAGTTGTCTTAACTCTGGGTATAAAGGGACTCTAATAATGATGGGTCAATATCATTCACTTCTCTTAATTCATTGTATGTAACCACAAAGTGCTATATATGGGACTTGTTTGAAACAGTATTTCTGGTGCACTCTGATGACGTAGCCACGCAGGGGAAACAGTATTTGCTAAATTCAGTTTCTAATTACTTGGATTTTGATTAGCCTTTCCTCCCTTTGGGAATGATATTTTTAACTTGCTGGTTGCTTCAAGAGACTGTGTGTGTTAAATACTATACTACAATCCTGCAAAAATTCCTTGCTACTGTCCTATTGTTACGGTGGTTGTTTAGGTTGTTTTACTTAAATCTGTGTAATGGAACCTAGTAAAAATGTGACAAATCATCGTTATCAAAATTATTGTTGATTAATATTGATATGTGCGGAACAATACTGTCTAACATGACAATTTCGGCAAAAATGAGTTAAAAATTTATTACGCAGTGAAATTAAGAAGAAAATTGCAAACCCCACCTTAAAATTACAAAAATGGCAAAGTTTTCCTTCATCTTGTAAAACTGTCAGTTTGCAGAGAGGCGGAATTATTCCTAAGTCATTGATACATAAAGCTTCAGCGTCTGAGAGATAACTTGCAAACTCAATTCAGAAATCAAGATGATTTTGTGAGAACATAAATCAGACTTCTCTTCTACCTCGTCGGTAATCAAAATCAACATTATAACATGTTTGAGCAAATACTTGAGTGGATCGAAAAAATGTTATTTCATTAGCCTTTTGCTACATAAATTGGATTCTTATTCTAAGTTACTCTAGTGACACAAATGGTAATTCTGGAAGGTCAGGGTTAGTAACCCTGGACACATTTTTGACAGAATTTTCAAAGTAAAAATTCATCAAAACGGTGCAGCAATTGTGTCTTAAAATTAGAGAACTCATTAAAATATGTTCAAATTGGTACGAAATAAGATGGAATAAGGGGTGAAAATTTTTAAAAAAACTGGCAATTTCCATCCGGACACACCTATTGGAGGTGATGGCATCAGTTCTTCTAGCGCACTGATAGACATATTATGCCAGCACAAATTTTCAAGAACATTCCTAAGGATACAATGAGCCGCTGTGTATGGGGTGTACATGGGTAAGCAAGGTACATTTTTTGTGATGTGTTGTGGCTCGCTGTGAAAAAAAAAAGAACGAAGAATTAAAAATTATTAAAAGAAACAAGGATAAAAGTAAGCTCTGCAGTTGAAAAATGGCTCTAAGATTGGGTACTTATACTTCAAATTTGATTTTAAAATCTTGAGAAAAGAATATAGGTAACTTCTAGGAATTGAAATTCCGCTTCAATTTTTTCACATAAAATAACAAAGTCATTAAAAGTTATTACTGATCTACGATAAGTGATTTCTGAAGGCTTGTTACATGCTATTTGCTCAGAGAGAAGTTACCTATGTAGAAAAGAACTAAAATATGAGTTGATGCTCATCAGAAGATGAGTAATAAAAAAAAAAAAAACCTCATCTTTTCTGTAAGCTTAAGAACAAATTTTGGTGACAAGAACAATCTGACTAAATGAAACAAAATCAAACCAAAACTTTTCGCAAAAACTTCGGAAATTGAAAAAAATTAGTATTCCTTGACTAGCCATATTTGCTAAAGAAAATAGGACCATGCGGTTTGTCGACAAGAGCCTCAACTTGCAAAAGTCCATCAGATAAGATTTGAAACAATACTGCCGAGTTGAGGAAGAACACCATATGCCTTCGGACGTTGCCAAATTTCCTCCGATAAAATACGAATTTTCACGGAAACTGTTGGATATTTTTCTTCCAATTTTTCAGACAATTTTGTACATACTAGAGTCTAAAATAACTCAAAATTTCAAGGAAGCTATGCACAACTTCCCTGAAAAATGCATAGTATCCAGAGAAATTTGGGAACTCTTGAATGTCGGAGTTCTTTCTTAGCATGGCAGAATAGAAGAGAGTCATGGGGCTTGCGATGAATGGGGCGACATTATAAGAGGCGATGAGTAAAATAAAAAGAAATAATGAATAAAGCCTTACTTTGTAAAAATTACCATGCACACACCAATTTTTTAAGTCTGATGCTAGGGGAACAGATAAAAACAGTGGAAGATTCTCCCTCGAACATGCGAGGATCATATTAATCATCGATACGATTTTTAAAGTACAAAGCATAGCTAAGTTGTGAATTTTTAAGTTTGATATCATCGCTTTGCAGATGAAGGAACATATACCTATTCCAAGGGTGCAAAATCTACTTGCACAATTTTGCTTTCACAAACTGAGATCACGGAGAAATTGCTACCCACAACTTTGCTGTTTACTGACCGCAATCCTTGAGAAAAAATTAAAATTTTCAGCGAGGAGCGTCTAATAGTTTCTGAATAAATTAAAAATTTAAATGGGGTTACGTTTTTTGTCAGGGAAAAAGGACAGTAATGATCTTTTGAGCTTAAAACATGTATGTGATTGAAGAATAAATTCTGAAATTGGGCTCGAAAGATTCAACATATACAGAGTGGCACACTTTTTTTCCGTTTTTGTTGAGAGTTGGATTTTGGCGCTTGGACCCTTCAAAGAGACATTGGTTCATGAGCACCTTTTGTCAGAAGACTGACTCTGTTACCTATGGCAAATGTCTTGCTTTGATGGAGAGACATTATTCTTGGCATATTCATTTTGATAGAACACAGAGATAGAACTTTTCAGTAAAATTGACTTCTATAGTAATAGAGGGCAGGGACTATTTTTATTTCTTTGGCTGGTCCGAAAGCAAAATAGACAATGGACAAAAATGTTTCTTGCTTACAGATATCTTCATTAGTTTTTGAGATACAGAAAAGGCCTGATTACTCTGGAGTAATTACTTACCAAACTAGTTGCAGGGCTTCAACCGGTATTCTGACGAGCAAGGATACTTCTGATTGGATAAAATCTTTCAAACTCAACAGCGGATTGTTACTATCAGGAAGCCATTTCTGAGCCAGCTCTTTTTTTTGGAAGCTTTTAATTTTTGATACTATTTTCTGCTTGGAAGCTTCAATATCAATCATCACAGAGTTTTTTTTGAGGTGAAGAAGGCTTGTTTCTAAGCTTTTCAGCAGAGATTTCTAGATTTTAGACAGGCAAAAATAAAACAATCATGAAATATGCACAATAACTGCTCAAAGCAGTATAAACTAAATGGAGATTATCTAGCCTCAAAAGTAAAGACAGGATTCTTCAGAAAGAACTATGCACAGAATACCAAGAAATTCAGTGTCGGCTAAATTTTTATATTATTTGATATGATGTTCCTTACAGCCTTCTGAGCACAATGAACTTTAAAATTAAACTTTCTATGTGTCTATCTTGAAACAAGCGAGGCTAAAAAGTAATTTTTTTATATTTATAAAGACAATATCCATTAGAAACGTTGCAACGTCTTAATGTTGATCAAAAAGAGATCTTGTTTCCTTGCAAGCCAAAAAGATAAGATGGGCAAGAAGAATGAAACTCCTCCAAATGATGATAGCTTACGGCGCAGCGTCCACACATATGGCAACAGTTCATCATCTGCTTTAAAAAATACATGTAAAAAAGCCAAAAGAGATTTTCAGGCCTGCATTTCTTTCTCAATTTTGAAGTATGGAAAGTTTGATTTTATAAGGTCAGGGGATTATCTTATCAAATAATATAAAAATGCAGACAGAATTTCCTGGTATTCTGTGCGTAATCCTTTCAGGCAAATGAAATTTCTATTAGAGATGTTAAACCAAAAATTGCATTATGTTTAATATCGATGACTGAAAAAATCGAAAAATGTAATTTCCCGTAAATTAGTCAAAGAAAAGGGTCTTTTATACTATCACACACATTACAAAAATATCAGAATCAATTGATTTGCCAATCATACTATACACATGGTTAATTTGGCAAAATTAAATGAATGAAAAACTTGTGGTTGAAGGAATCTTCAAGTTTTTGATGACCTTTTGAAATTTACAAAAGTGTATACATATAACGTCCATTAAAATTGTCTGTACTTAGCCTCTGTTGCCATAATAATAACTTACTTTGGGAAATTTTAAAGTTTATCAAAAATTCCAAGTGTGTGATGGTAAAGCTTATAGAATTAAGTTTCACTATAAAATACATCACGATTTTACCTTCTGAGGGAGAATTGAGTTTTACCATTCTATACTGAAGTCCGAAACCTACTTCCCTGTTGTAGCGTAACTTCCGCAATGGACTTTGGCGATGTATACTTTTCACCAAAGAAGGAAAGGGGGGGGGGGCGTCCCTAAATTATTTCTTTCGTTTGCCTGCCTGATTTCAAGGGTGAATTATGCATTTATTGCACAGAAAGTATCGAAAGCTTGAATTTTATGTGTGCAAGTGCAATCCATGCATATAAGAATGGGACGATCCTGTGATAGTATTCTAACTATCAAAAATTTTAAGAACTTGGATTAGTATAGCAAGCACACTTGCACCATATTAATGAGAAAAATGAAGGGAAAAGAGAGAAAAAAATTGAACTGGAAAATGCTTTAAAATTTACACTTTTTTTCGCTAGTTGTGGTCTCAGATGATGGTCTTCGGCTTTATGATTTTATCTTTGTTTAAAAATTTCATTTTGAAAAATAGCCCCTTTCCTACAACTTTGAAACATGTTTAATTCAGATTTAATTTTGCAACAAACATTACTTACAATATTGTGTTCTGCCTCCAATGTAGCATGTTCCATCTCGAAGTAAAGGTCCTTTGAATCTTCTGAACGCAAGATTTGAAGCTCCAAGGCATCGTTTTCTTTTTCTAGAAACTTAATCCTCTCAGTCACCAATGAATAGTTGACAACGGAGTCAACCCACTCTGCGGCATCTTCCTCTGGTAGTCCTCGGACTGCTTTCATCTGCAAAACAAATAAATAGACTGTTGCATTGGTTGAATTTGAAGTATATTCAGACATTTTTTGATGAGACCCTGTGAAGCAGCTTAAGCCGTAAGCGCTACAAATGCTTGTTCTGACAGCTAAGTCAATATTAGACAAGTTTTGTTCAAAACAACAAAATGTTTCCGTTTTTTTCTTGTTTTTTTCTTTTTTTTTTTTCACGCGATTCTGAACATTAACTTCCAGCAACTTCCAATTTAAGGTTAGAAAACAGCTTTGCTCTTTTGAACAACATAAAAACGACTTGCTTTCAGCACGTTGCAGTTTTTGTACAACAATGTATCTTCAGGGGTTCCCAAATTTTGAGCGCAAAAATAAGCCCTGCCCCCACAACAAAATTAACTAGCTATTTCTGCGTTTAAAACGTTTTTCCCAAATTCTAATTTTTGACAGGAAGAAAGTTAGAGCTATGTATGTATGTCGTTGAATTTAAAACTACTCCCATCGTAAAAAAAAGAAAGGCTAAACCAAAAAAATCAACTTCACAAAAATAAATTAAAATTGCCAACGCGTGCCAGAGCTCCCCGGCCCCTTTTGCAAGGTGAAATTCCAACAGAAGCCAGGCTGGGGCCGCGGAGCCCCAAAAACGTTTAGGAAATTTTAATCCACTTTTATGAGTTTGAAATTTTTAGTTTCGGCTTTCTTTATTTCAATATTTGGTTCACTGTTTGTTACCTCGATTTGCTGTTTGTTTTGTTTCACTTACTTTTCGTTACTTTCGGTTTATTAGTCCCATCTCATTTTTTTCCTATCTACAAGTTGGTGCTCATCCGTTGAACTCAGTATTGCAGAATTCTACTTCGTCTATTGGCTTAAAAATGAATTAAATTGCTTGCAGGTTGATCTCAAAGATACTAGGGTAGAGGGGAGTTTTCGGAGAGCGTATTAAAGCATGTTTTTCAAATTCTCATTTTTCCACTCATTTCAACAAAGATTATTCTTCTGAAAAATTTGCCAAAGTGAGCAGAAGTCCTTATTTCAAGGCAGTCATGCATTATCTTAATAAATCAATTGAAAATTTAATTACTTCTTATTATAACTTTCTAGCATAGCTTGTTTCATATTTTTTGTTTCAGCTTAACTAGCATCCAATTACTTACAACTGAGTCAACAAGCATATGTTTCCTTCTTATCAGCTCCTCTCGTTTTTGCGCTACTGAGTTCTGAATCTCTTCTAACTTTTGCTTATCTTCCGCTATCAATTTCCAAAAATCCTTTAATTGATCATCTGGATTTTTACCTCCGCTAAGTTCAACTTCCCTCCTGTAATAAATCAGAGATCAAACAATTAAATGGAAGCAAATCAAAGCATACCGCAAAAGGATTAAAAAATCAAAAAGTCATCTGTGAAAAATGTTGAAGTTTATAAACCTAAAAATAAATTCTGTTTAAGAAATCTTCCTTCCAAGTTTTATAGAGATCAATGTTTATTCCTCCATGAATGATAAACGTAGAAACTTATTCGTGAAGGAGTTTCTACAAAATTTTTGTTTCAAGTTCAAGCTTTGAAACTTTAAGAAGACAACTTTTAAGACAATTGCTAATACATGATTTGAAATATTTTGACAATCAAATCGATTCTTCTTAACGAATTCTGAGAACCAAAATTATTTTGACCATTGATAAGGAAGGGGGAAGGTAAAAGTTAGATATTTAAAATGACAAAGGTTTAATTAAAATGTCTAATTGCAAAAAGAGAAGCAAAATTAAGTTTTGCAAGAGAATCAATTTGAAGGGACATTATAATTTTGTGTAATTTGAGGCCCTGACAGTGATCCTAGGGTTTCTTGCTAGCACAATCTTTTTACTAGCAAAGAGTACATTGGTTTAAATGGAAGAAAATTAAGCCGTACAGTAGAATTTCTTTTGCATACTAAATGCAGTCAAAATGCAAGAATTCGATCTTAGAAAGAATAAATGGAACATTTAGAAGAAAAAATTACATTTTGGACCAATGGCTTAATAAAGCAAAAGGTCTCACGCTGTCAATTTTACTCCTTAACAATATGCGTACTTACTGCGTTATGACCACCTTCTCATCAAACTCAAAACAGGTTTTCATAAGCCATGAACGCACAAGTCTTGCTAATTTTCGGAAATAATTGTTTTCGGCCTCTAGAAATTTTAATTGGCTATTGGCACAGTTGCAGAAAATTAACTGCATTTAGAGAAAAATTCTACTATAGTACATTTTAAAACTTAGAAACACATTCTGACGTATCGCATCAACTTGTGTTATCTTAGTACATGTAATGTTTATGGACTTAGCCCAATAAAAATGTGAATAAATTGTAAATAAATCATCCATACAATTCATGAACAAAAAAAAAAAAGCGGCAAGATTAAATTTCGGCAGCAAAATTTTACAAAAAATTACACTAAGTGACGTACTTGAGTGTAGAATATTCTTCTCCGACGTTTTGGGATGTGGCAGCAACGACTAATTCTTGATTCAATGTCTGCAGCTTCACAGTTAAACCTGCTAATAGTGATGAGGAAGAGAGGTTTCTGGAAAAGTTGGAAATATGCATCTGGAGTTTACTTTTTCGTTCCTCATCTTCACTGGGGCTTGCTGGAGTTCTTTCCATTTCTTCCATAATTGTAAGATCAAGACCATGAAGCAAATCCTAAGGGAAAAATAAAAATCATAGTCTGCCTATTGATGATAGAAACTAGAGTTCGCGACCGTAAATTCAGAAAGGTTATGGCAAAAGGTTAGAGTCAGGGCAAAATCTAAATTCCAAGGAGTAGCTGAGTACTCTATATTTTTAAAACAGAGGTAGTCTCGAGTATTTGTCCCGAGTAAGAATAGGACCAAGAACTTTTTTCGCCTAAATCAGTGTTTAGGATTTGTCAGGTCCTGAAGCATCCCCCCTAGCAAAATTAAGACAATATCTGAAGTTCCAAGCTTAAAAAGCCTATATAGATCGGGCCAAGGAGATAAATGAAGTCAAAGAGTTATTCATTCAAAGGTTTTATTCAAAATCAGAGAGTAATTTGATGACTGGCTAAAAATTAGGCATACAGCCGCTACTGAAATCTAATCAAATTTGATTACAATGGAAATCTGTGATAGGCCCTGCTGACAAAAAAGGCGGTGGGTGGGTATCTATTGATTCCTTTATGTTTTGCATGCATGATTAGAAACCCTAGAAATTTGTTCGCGCAGTTCGCACGAATTTTCAAAAAGTCGTTTTTAACCACCTGAACCAAGCTTAGAGGCATCATGGTGTTGCGTTAATTTCGAGTATATGATCTAGACTTTTGCGAATTCGCCAGTTGACAACACAAAATTCGTTAATTTCGACGTAATTTGAGCTGTAGCTGGAAAATTCGTGGAAAAATTATCTTTATCCTACTCGGAGCCGCTGGTCATTCGGGTGGGCGGGACTAGGGAAACTAGGTAAAACTCCGGTTTCCGTTGTCGACCAATCGCATTGACCTCGTGCTCTCGACTGGCGCCCAGAAGCGTCGGCCATGTTGAGCAGGGATTAAATGGAACGAATCTTCTAATGGATTGTTCACCTGTGCCATAGTATCTTTTTTGAAGTGGGAAGCTTAAAAAAATGTGAAGTTCTTACACAGATAGTGAAGTTAGGGGTGCTTTTCATAGTTTGCCGATGCGCTTATTGTGATTTTTGAGACATTATCTATAAGGAACAACACTTATTTATGCTCTAGCAAAAGTTTGCAACAGGCCCATTCTACTTAGGGATGCAGAATCTTACAAGCTTCCCTGTTTCATGGGCCTGTCAGCCAGCTTTTCACAAGATATCTAATTTCACAACAAGAGCATCCTTTTCTCCTTGTGTCCTTTGCTTTCCGATTTTTGACCCTTAAAAATTTTCCCTCCATCCACATTTTTAAGAGCTCTGGCACATTTTCAAGTACAAGATCAAGCATTTTTTGCACCCCTGTTTCTACATAAGATGGCTTACCAGAACGTCAGCTGTTTGAGCTTCTGTCAAGATGCTTCTGTTTGAGGTTTGGAACAGCGGTGAACTACTATATTTTGGTTGGAATCTCCCCATAATTCTCGATTTCTGTAGGAAAAAAAAAAGAAGGTAAAAGGAGGAGAAGAAATCCAGCATGAAGCATCAAGAAATCCGGGATTTACGATGCAAGAATAATGCGAGGAATTGTTGGAAGAGGCGTTTTGCAAATTTTCTGGTGTTCACCAGAAACACAAGTTAATTATTACATTCTTTTCAATTTGCCTCATTGCAATTTTACTCCCTATGTAATATAATACTTATGCTACAGGATTTAATACAATGTACTCAGAGGTTGAGAACTTTTCCATGGCAGATTGATTGAAAGGATAATTTTGTGATCATGGTAAATATCCAGAAAGTAAAAATTCAATGACGAAAACAAACTAGGTATCAGAATTCAATCTCTTGACAAACTGTTGTTGGAAAAATTTAGTTTAACGGTTTCAAATGGTTTTATAAATTATAAAAGGGAGAAAAACCGAAAAAACATGAAACACCCAAATTCTTGGAATCCTCTTGTTAGCGTTCAATTGACCTTCATCAGCACTTGGACATACATTAACTACGTGGCTTTTTTTCATTTCTTTTCTTCGACAAACTGGAGACAAATTACATGTATCAAATTACATATTGCATTTAATAACTACAATTTATGGCTCATATGTGAAAACATTCGTCTATACGGAAATTAATGGTACATACATTGTTTTTAAAATAGAATTGAAATCAGTAGTTCCAAATCGCAAAATGCAGCTCATTTAACCAGCAGCAGCTTTGCTGAATTTTATTTTGCCAAAGTTCCTGTCAAGTTTAATTTTTTAAAGCAAGAACCCAGCAACAAGATGCCTTGTAACTTTCTATGCACTTCTCTTGGCTGACTTACAGAGAATATACTCACCATGACCATTACTTTCCTGTTAAAAAATTTAAAAAAAAAAAAAAAAAAAAAAAAAAAAAAAAAAAAAAAAAAAAAAAAAAAAAATTAGACGATGTCTACATAGGTACTTAATTCCACCTGTATCCATCCACCACTCGGCAGAGAAAGTTGAATCATACTTTAGAGGAAGACAAATAGAAAATGCGTACTTAATAAGCATGTAACTTTACCGTTTCTTGTTGAGGCATCAGCCATTTTACTTGATCGATAGAATCTTTTAATTTGAGAAGTTTTCTGAACTGTGCCTCCTTCTCCTGCAGGAGCGCAATTTTCGTTTGGTCATCATAAATTTTTTTTTCAGTTTCCTTCTGGACTTTACCTGTAAAAAAACGCAATAATAATATAGGATAGTGTGCAGAAGAGAGAGAGAGAGAAACAACATATGTACTTGTCTGAAAAGTAATTTTTGAGCTGATACTTATTTTCACACTTATCTCGGTTAACTTCCATAATTTTGAGGGACACCATCACACTCATAAATAAAATTTGTGGTATATCAGCGACAAACATCAGTTACATCCTAGATTGTTTGCCTATCATCATTAGTATTGAGTCAATCTAATGTAGTGATAAAAGTGTATTTTAAGTGCAGATTGGTAGAGCCATCTTGGACGGACCTGGAATTGTTGGACAGGATTATCAAATAGTACGGTGCGGCACAGTGTTTTGTTAATCTTGCTCTGTCTTACAAAATCTTAATCAGTCATATGACTGACTTGGTGGTTCATCTGGCCAAAGATAGGTATGATTTATGAATTTATTAATAGGACGTGAAAGTAATATTTCATCGCACTATTGACTCCAGATTTATTTTTCTTCTAATTTGACTTCTGCTATACACGGTTTACAAAATTCTCTGACTTTTCCTCACTTTCCAGACCACTGAAACCCTGTGTATTCATGTATATAATGTGTGTTAAAACGGAATTGATTTGATCTGTGGAAAAATGAAAAAACTTGTTCCTTGGACTTTATTCACTTACCCATTCGTTTTAGTTCTGCATTCAAATCCTCACATTTGCTAGTCAAGGATTTAATTTCAGCTTTGTTGGCCTCTATCCTATTTGCTGAGTTTTCATAATGCCTTAAAGTCTCAATTTGAGAAATCTGATTGATTCTTTTCTGTAGAGAAGAAACATCAATTTTAAAGCTTTTTTACAGACAAGTTATTTACTTGAAAAATAATTTCAATGCAAAAAATGATACAAGATGCCTACTAATGTTTGGTGAATACCATTATACCATTGTGTCAATATCTACTTTTTAAGTTTGAAGAGGTGTCATGAAAGTATTATTTTGAAACAGAAAAAACCAAGGAAAGGACCCAGCTTGGAGCACAAAGATGTTGGCAGCTAAATTTTGTTATTATCTTATTTGATGTTCTTTACGGCCTCTTGAGCAAGATTAGCTTTTAAAATTAAACTGTGTAAGTGCCAATGTTGAGATAGGCAAGAGCTGAAAAGATAATTTTACTTGTTGACTGTTAACCCATAGAGTGAAAAATCAATCTTTGCATAATGAAAATGATGCTTTTATGAGAGACTGGAAAAAATAGGTCTTTTCCTGGAGTCTTAAGATAAAATATTAAAACAAAGGACTGTGCACAGAATACCACAGTGCTGGTTGAATTTCAAGATTTTTCGATTTAAGACTCCTTGCAGTCTCTTGAGTGAGATGCTTCCTTAAAATCAAATTTTCTACAAACCAATCTTAGGAAAATTGGGTTTGACAAGTGCATTTTTTGGCAATTTAACTTGTGTAATCTTACGGAGATGAGGCACCGCCTCTTGGTCGAAGATACAGAAACCTTTGCTTTGAACTGATTTAACGCGCAATCTTACCTCCCCGGCCAGTGTGAGATGAAGAAAGTAGAGCTTGCCCCTTCATACTCCACTCCACACGACATGAGAGTGCATGTAAAACTGCCAAAAAATCCTCTTTTCAGACCGGATAATCTTAAATTTGGTACAAGGAAAGTTATATTTTAGAAGCTCATCTTACTCAGGAGAACGTAAGACAGGGTTAATACAGAATTCAGAAAATGAATTTCCCTGACGCATTTTGGTAAAATTTCTTGACAACTGAAGATGTGCCAGACGGATAAAAAGACAAAATTTGAAATGGTTTTTAGGCAAAATTTGCTGTGCAAAGAGTCAAACCCATTCTAGAAAGCTAATGAAGGTGACTTAACAATTTTTTGGTGACATTTTCATCATTTTCCTTGACATTTTCAGAGTTTCCCTCACTGAGGCAACCCTGTAGGAAAAATTAAATAAAAAATCTTAAAACTAAGCCCACACCGGACTTTCAAGTGTTCCATGCATAGTCCTTTGGAAGCAGAGGGTGAAGGTAAGTAATAAAGACAGTGGAAAAACAAGGATGAAAAAACGGGAAACAAGGCTAAAAATACACAATTAATGAAACCCGAGACGTTTTGAGTCGAAACGTCTTGGGTTTCATTAATTGTGTATTTTTAGCCTTGTTTCCTGTTTTTTCATCCTTGTTTTTCCACTGTTATCATTGTCTTGGGCTGCTCTTAAAAATTTGTATCTATGGTAAGTAATAAAGTGATACTTACTGTGAATTTTCCTTTATTTTTCCCCAACATTTTGTCTTTTCTTAACTGGTTAAGTAAAATGTTTTTCCGAATGATCTCAACTTCTTCTTTAGGTCTGACATGTTTCACAATGTGTTTCCACATTCCTGCCATCTGTGGGGTGAGTAGTCTGAAAAATTGAAAGTGTAGATTGGACGTATAAAGTAAGAATGTATAAGGCATGTATGAAAAATTAGGATACCCACTGCAGTAGAATTCTGACGTGATGAGGGGAAATGCCAGGTGAGCATTCAAATGTTGCCAAATCCCCTCTCAGAGCATGTTTATTTTTGAAGAAAGTTATGAATCAGAGTGTCTACTAAAACAAGCTGACCAAAAATTAGTACTTTTACAGTACATTCCCAAGAAATTCAGGACCTACTCAACAGAAAAATTCAGTCCTTTTTCAGTACCTATATTAGTCGAAATTTGAAAAATGTCAAAAATTTGAATTTCTCTCTCAAATTACGACAAAAACGAGTAAAACTCCGGACCTACTTGCGGAATTTCTGCACTTTTCAAGTACTTCTGGACCGTCCTTAGAAATGTATCAGTACTATTTCCGGACTTGTAGACACCCTGTAAATACTTTTTCTTGAAATTTTCTGACTCTTCAAATCAAATTACTGACAGAATTCTCTGTAAAATTGAAAGAAAAATATTTACAAATTTTTTCAAAGGAAATTTGATGACATCTGAAGGCTCATACAGCGTTTGTCTGTAGCTCGGCAAAATATTAAAGAAACCGCCAGGAAACAAATGTAAAGAATCTTTTTGCACAGCCTTTACTTATTGATACCCTCCAAAGAGGGGGAAACTCGGTAAAAGGAGTAGAAGGTTTGGGAGGCGGTAATTTTGGCTGCTTGTGGGATGGATACTTGGACCACAGAATGAGTTTTCCCTTTAACAGGGAATAAGACTGATTGAAGAACTTGAAATTACTCCTGAATCACCAATTCTAGTGAAATTAGATTTAAAATAGATAAATCATTATACATGAATGACCAAGGCTCTGCAGAGGGGAGGCTAAGGTGAGCACTAATAAACATTGGCCCTAATGTAACATTTTTATTTTCCGGCAAGAAATTAAAACCCCACAGAAAATCCCCAACAAGACAACCTGAGATGTCTCCTTTTGTTGTTATACATACAGATTAAATTACCTATGGCACTTACTTCTGGAAACTTTCAGCCGAGACATTACCCTCAAATCCCATTCTTGCAGCCCAGTTCTTGAGCTCTTCACCAGTTAGACCACCAGGTGCTTTAGGGCCAGCAGCCAAGTTGGGACCAGGATTTGGTATAGGACCAGCAGCCCAGCTACAGCCTTTTCTGGCGTACTTCGGCTTATTCATCCTGAGCAGGCAATCAACTCATTACAAACTGGAACACAAAACAAGAAATTACAAGAAAACTTACTCAAAGTTAAAAACTTGCTTTCCAGTAAGAGATCTACTATTATCCGAGGTCCACGTATGAGGGCACACTGCAACGCTTGAATGTTCAAATCTTTCACAGAAAAGCCTTGAACTTCACCAAGTTGAGCGACTTTGTCAATCATAAGTTGGTAATCCATATACTTACAAAACACCTGCACAAGTGCATTCGGATTGGTTTCATAGAAAAGTAAGTAGAATGCGGGCAGCACTTCTTAGAGGAAAAAGATAAAGTGAATCATCAGAATTGCTCTGTAAGAAACTGCGCACCATTTCAGCAAAGTTGTGAGGTTAATCTGTTCATCTATGGTGCGGAACTCTTGGATTGAGAAGGAAGGTTGGGTTGGCTTCCGAGGGAATCAGCAAGGCCTAACGGTGACACTGATACCTCTATATTCCTGATCAAGATGAAGATAATTTGACAGGAGGAAGTGCGAAATGCGATGAGGATGAGAGTCCATATTGATGTACTTACAAATGTGATCACTACTCAAATTCAACCGTCTTAAGCCAGAAAGAGTATGAACATACAAAAACTCTGCTATGAGTACTGAACGGCTGTGACGGAAGATACAAAATAAAATTTCTAGAATTATGTCGATGGAACACTAAAGAAAAGATTAGAATTACAGACTCACCTTAGCTCACGGAGACAATGGCCTCGGTGTGGGATTATGGATATGGAATTATGGATAAATCTATGGGACAAGGATCAAGGCGCACAAGGCGAATTTCGAATTCATAACCTCAACTTTGTTTTGTTTTGATTACTTCGTTTTTGATTTGGCGGGCTTTTTGCGCGCTCTCTGTTGTCGAAACATACAACTTTCAAATAGCGGGAATTTTAAAAACTCGGACAAATTTTCAAAAAAGCGCGCGTGAGGAGAAAAGAGCGCGGTCATTCAACCCATATATTTTACTTTTTCTTCATAGTACATAGTCCTTACAGATCCTACGTGATTTTTAGGATTATTCACGAAGATATGGGAAAGTAAATCCCCTTCACATATTTTCAGTGGAAAAATTTAGCTTTTTTGTGTACACTTGTTTTTTTATTTGATTTTTGTTTGTATACTTAATTTTTTTGTTCGCTTATTAATTTTTGTCATTTGTCCTATTCCAATACTTTATATGATAATTTTCTCTATGAAAGAAATTTGTGCTGTCAGAATAATTGCTTATTATCAATATATTGTAATTTCTTGTCGGTAATCGGGGAAAGGAGATCAAAAATATTTCTGTATCAACAGTGAGACTTACTGACGCAATAATTTAATGGTACCGGGAACTAATGTAGAAGAGCTGATTCATATATTATTACTTTTTAAGAATGTAGGAAAAGCGTCAAGTGTTTATTTAACGAAATTATTCATCAATTTTGGTCAAATCAGGTAGTTGCAGAGAACACTCTCTCATTTCGCCGGAAAATTACTGCGTCAAGTAAATATTTGCCCAAAATATGGAGAATTTCCGGTTACATCCGGTGATCTCTTAAATGCCGCAATCACACGCTGAATGTGGCTTGAATGTGGAAGTCATCGGCCCGATGCCTGAATTTTGCGTGTGACGCGCAAAATTCAGGAACGATTCTCAGCAACCATCGGACTAATGTTGGATTCGTCTGAACTATTCGAGTAGATTTGATACACATCTGGATGAAAATAACTCGAATTTGCGAAATTTCAGCCGTTGGGCGATGACTGTTGACTTCCACATTCGGCTGCTAAATTCAGCGTATGATTGCGGCATTAAACACTGATCTCTCATTGCGCGCACTTATTTCTGCGGTATTCTTCATTGGGAAAATGATATGAGAACATATAATAATAGCGGTCGCTGACATCCCCCATTTTTACGGCAATCGCTTTTTTCCTTCGATAAAACATTTATTTTTGCGGAAATTTATTTGCGTATTTCTCCTTGAAGTTCTCAGATGCTTCAGATTAAATCGTAAACAAACTCGTCTGAAAGATTCGATATAAAATATTCATGATTTTCCAAGTGATTTCGTTTTTTATTGAAAGAAACATGGCAACATGTGAAGGTTCATACGGCGCTTTTCCTTGGCACGGCAGCGTTGGTTAGGTTAATCAGCGAAAATTGTCAAACTTTCGGGGTGCGAGTTACCGGGCGCAATCGATTCTACGCCTCAAACTACGTAGGATTCGACACTAAACATCGTTCGAATTTCTGAATCCTTGCAATTAAGATCAGAAGCGGACTGGCTCCTCGACCGGGGAAAAGTATATTTTCACCGGAAAGCATACAGGATTGCAAGCTCGCAACAACATCAAGAAAATGCGACTTCTCAACGACTTGAGCGCGCACCGAGCACGGTACGCGCAACGCACACCCTAGCGCCTTACAAGTCTCCAGGATACTTCATGCATTGCGCGTAAATCACGGTGCGCCCTCAAGTCGTTGAGAAGTCGTATTTTCTTGATGTTATTGCGAGCTTGCAATCCTGTATGCTTTCCGGTGAAAATACAATTTTCCCCGGTCGAGGAGCCAGTCCGCTTCTGATCTTAATTGCAAGGATTCAGAAATTCGAACGATGTTTAGTGTCGAATCCTACGTAGTTTGAGGCGTAGAATCGATTGCGCCCGTCCCGAGACTCGCCGGAGCTCCCTGAGCCGAGAAACGGTCAAAAACGAGTGTTTCTGGCCCTGTTGCAAAAGTGTGTTTTTTGTCGGTACCGCGGACTCGTGGTGGGCTGTGTGGAGATTTGAACCCACTTGCGATAACTGCCTGCCAACCGGCCATGGGCTGTAGCTGACACTCAAATTATACGTATCGGGACCGTCTCGCCAGAATTGTTGAATTTTTAACTGATTATAGAATTTGTTCCTTGTTTTTGTTGTAAAAGTTACAAACGGTTTAGTTTCTTGATCAATTTTGTTAAATGACTCAGCATTGACTTACTTTAAGGTCATTTTAATCGTTTCACCAGCCTTACCTTTCCTGAAGACTTTGTTTCATGCACAAAAAAGTGTTTGCAGTAAAAATAGCGGATGTCACATTTTTTTCAAATAGCTAAAACTCCTTCAATTTTTTACTTACATAGATCGTAAAACGTGTGTTTTTACCGGAAGAGTTGCTCTCCATGAAAATCTTTATGAGAATCCTCTCGGTTCTACGGGCGGAAAAGTGCAAAGCTTCTAAACTTCAAAAGCGATTTTCTCACAATGTGAAAACTCGACATCCGCTATTGTTACAGATAAGTCCTCATATGTATTTTTAAAACCATCTCTTGTTAGTCACGCACCGAAAACACGTGGATCTACACACCAAAAACACGTGGATTCACACACCAAAAACACGTGGATAAATTTATTAACAGAAAGAACGTACATGATTTCAAGTTGAAAGTATAGCTCATCAACACAGGATAGACAAACAGTAGGGGGGATCAGGTATTTTCAATAATGAATGTACAAAAGTTTGTATAACAATTGTTAAGAATAAAAGATGAAAGTGCTACAAAGGTAATATTATTGGAGTTAACTCTTGACGTGAACCTCTCAAACAGTCACAATAACAACTATAATTTTGCAGCGATACCGAAGCAATCGTTCTTCAAATCATCTAGAGCCAGATGTTAAATATCATGAACTTCATTCACTACTGAATTTCACAGTGGAGATACGTGGTTTGGTAGTTTCAACGTCGACATTCTATTCATAACTATGACATTCTAATCCATTCTCTGGCACTGCGATGTTGCAGACGTGCTGACTCTGTAAGAGTTGGCGCAAAACATCATCGACACTGGCTCGAGTTTCCTGGAATTTTGAGTGGCCTTTTGGCACGTGCATACTCCTTCAATACACTTGCCGTCCCGAATCGCAAGACATGGAGCTTTCGTGTTATAGCCGGCAACGCAGAAAGCGCTTGTGTTTTGATCGAAGACTTCCGTCACCTTGTTCAGGAACTGACAATACACTTTACAAGAATTTTTGATTTCCTCAGTTAGCCTTCTGTCTCTGGTTTCCCTCATGAGGATGCAAGGATCGATCATTTTGTTGAGCAAGACCGCCATTACCGCCTGAAGCTTCGCCGTTCCGGAGATTTCCGGCTCAGTGCTCTTTTGCGAGGAGGTCCTCTTTAAAGAAGAAGAGGAGCTGATTGTGGAGCCGGCATATGGTGAGGCGACCTGCACGCGCGGGCAAAAGAAAACAAAAAGCAAGTTAACATTGTATCTGCATATGTTTAACGGAAATGTTAGTCTGAAATGGACGTATTTCTGCCAAACGGAACTATGTGCATGATGATGTGAGCCCTATTATGCATATATTTTCACGGGTCTCAGGGCTCATTTCTTAATTCACATAGTTCCGCTCGGCCGAAATACGTTCGACTAAGAAACTTATGATGCGTAAGATATAAACAGAGACAAGAGACCCACCACTCGTAGCTTGGCCAGATGAGCCTACTCTATTCAGATTTTGAAAATATGACCCAAATTTTTGTATATTACGTGGTAAAGTTTCGAATTCTCCCATTTAAACAATGTAAATTTTTATTTTTTGTCATGGTTCGTTCGAGCGTTCTACAGGGCTGATTTCATGATTTTGCGGCTATTGACAGGTGATAGTGCCTAAACGAGCCTGCTGTATTCATAATTTGAAAATAGGACCCAGGTTTTTTTGCATTGGAGTAGACCAGAGAGCTTAGGAAGGGGGGTAATATTTGAAATTCCCGCCAAACAAAAATGGCGGGAATTTCAAATTTAGCGGAAAATTGAACTAAGCGGGAAATGTTGAATCAAGAAGCGACGAAACGCTTCGTTCTGTTTCGTTTCAGTCTTGACGTGGTGTTAGAAATACAATTTTTTCAATCGGTTCATATTGGTCCCATCGCTCCCGGCCAGAGGGAGATTGGACAAATGAGAGTCGGGTATGAAAATCTTTTCATTGTTTATTATCCTTCCTTTGCCGAAGCGGGTCTAAGAGAGGGCGAAGCGCCTTCTGGGCGTTGGGCCGCGTAGCGGCCAGGGGGCGCAGCCCCCTAGTTTTGTACGAGATACAAGTCTTATTTTTGCTCCAGCTGCAGTTAGCAATCACTTGAGACAATAAGTATCTACTAACCGGTGTGACTTGATTGTATCTGCTTCCATTTTTGCTCGTTTTTTTGCTCGGTTTTTTGCTCAATTGTTTGCTCGGTTTGCTCGGTTGTCTGCTCGTTTGTCCGCTCGGTTGTCTGCTCGGTTGTCTCGAGACTTGCGGTTTCAGGTAGTCTCCGCTTAAAACTCCACTTAAAACCCTACGCATAGCGGGAAGGAGCCGCCCAATCGTATCTTTCGCGTTCTTCAAGATGCATTGGTCTACATCGTTGCAGCAGAAGTACTCAGTGAGCGCGTCGATGGTGGCGACGGCATCTTTGCCTTTCGCTGGTAGAATCTCCTTGAACGAAAATTCGATCACTTCCCTGCTGTTCTCCTTACAAAACTCGCTTGTCAACAGTTTCGGGGCGTCGATTTGCTTCGGGTTGACGCCCACGATCATCACCTCCGGGGCTGCTCCCACGTCCGTGTTGCCGAGTATCAGCTTGTGCCCTTGCGCTAATCGCGGGTTACTCGCGATGTAGAAGTTGTACGTGCGAGCGATTGCGACTTTGTCAAAGAAGTTGGTCTCTGTGCACTCGAGTCTGACCTGAAAGGGATAGTAAATGAATCAAGCCATGTCTTTTGATGTGAATAAATAAATAAATAAATAAATAAATAAAATAATAGAGACATAGTAGGGATAGTAAAAAAAAATAAGGGAAAAATAATGAGGGATAGTAAATGAATCAATCCATGTCTTTAGATGTGAAAAAATAAATAAATAAATAAATAAAATAATAAAAAAATAATACAAAATAACAGATTCACAAGGAGCAGAAAACAACTTTTACTCGGCCGGCCAGGTTGGCCTAGCGGTCAGCGTCTCTGACTCTAGAGCAATAGGTCCTGGGTTTGAATCCCGGTGGTGGCGAAAAATTATCAAGGAAGTGACGAGCAGACCTGCAGAAACAGACTCCACTCGGCATCTATCCCTGCTACTTACAAAGAAAGCCTGGAGCATGGATGTTGACTAACCTTAATCCGATGTTCATTCGAGGTTGCAGAATCCTCAAATGAATTAAAAACCCCAATAAAATATTTAAAAAAAAAAAAAAAAAAAAAAAAAAAAAAAAAAAAAAAAAAAAAAAAAAAATGTCAAAATGAAAACGTAAATCGATCGACACCGATTCCATCGACTGACAGGTTTGTCTAACGATTCACGGGATTGTCAATTGATTCATGGATTTGTCGATCGATTCGGTGTCGATGGAATCACGTCGATCGGTTTTCGTTTTTCGATCGATTCAAGTCGATCGAATCGACACCGGGTTTTTTAAAATAACTGTCGATCGAATCGGAGTCAATCGAATCACGTCGCGTCGATCAGTTAACGTGTTTATTTTTCGATCGATTCATGTCGATCGAATCCATACCCTCCGATAGGGAGTGCTTTTTGACTTCAACCTACCTCCTGAATCTAGTATACGAGTGGCAGCACGTTCAACTGGCGCACCAGCTCAACTACAAGATGGCGGGGAGGGACCTAACATATTTGGAATAGTTTAATCGGTGACAAACCTTTAATTCATGCTTCTGATGTCAACACGGAAAAAAAATTGCTGATTCAACATTTCAATTGTTAAAAACAGTGAGTGCAATGTTTCAACGCAGATTTTACAACAAAAAAATGCTACTTTAACCTCCCCCGTGGTTAAATTAGTTTACAATGTGGTTAAAGTAGCATTTTTTTGTTGTAAAATCTGCGTTGAAACATTGCACTCACTGTTTTTAACAATTGAAATGTTGAATCAGCAATTTTTTTTCCGTGAAAGCATGGAGGACGGCAATCGTTTTTCTACATAATTTATTTTTTCATCAGAAACGTAGTTTTCTCAAAATTGATAGTTGAAATTTTGGTGGGAGAGTTCTTTCATCTCAACGGTGCTCATCATCTTCGGGGAACTTAAGGTCTCGATAGACGATCAAATTCCCGAACCAATTACCATCAAATAGTCGGGAGTCATCAGTCTTAAACTCATTAATTTGCTTGATTTTAAAATGAAAACTTGGTGGAAGTGTTTCCTGTGGCAGGAAATGATGAGTGGTGGCACTCCATTCTGATCTTACTTTGAACAAAATAGTGCGGCCCGTCAAAATTTGGTGGTAGATGGTGAGGGTGATCATCAGTCATTAGCGTGTCTACTTTGATCGGAATTGATTCGGAATCTGATCGTCTAAGGATGCGTCTATATAGAAAACAACTGAGCGCGCTTCTCTAATACGAAAGTATTAGAGCTTTACCGCTTGTTTTACTTACCGCAGCTGCAGTTCAGAGGACTGAGCCATGATCCACCGACTTGAAAAACTTTAGTCAACATGGAGCATGCTATGGTTTTCTGGTCGTTGAACTGAATCTTCAGTTCGTCACACGATTGAATAAGCAACAAGTGATTTTCTCTGAATTTCTGGGTTATTTAGTGTATTTTCTTAAAGGTCATTTCACTCAAAACACTTCTTCCCTAATCTATCATTACAATTAATGGTATGCCGTGGTTGTATGTACACGATGATCGATAGCATGTCACATTTTACGATGATTGTCATACTGATGGTTCCATGGTTGATAAATAGGAAATATTATCTTAAGCGGTATTTCTGTTTGTCCAAAGGGTCGTCCATACTGTCACTTTTAAGAAATTTCCGGTTAATTCAACGATAATTCTCATCCGGAAATTGTTAAATAGATAATTTTTCCCAGCTTCCATATGTGCAGATAGGTGCTTTTATGGTGGAGCCAGAAATAAAAGTTTTTCATTGAAAAATGAGGCCCTATACGAAAGGAAATCGACAAATTAGCGTGTATGAAGGCTATTTCAATTGTAATCTGCCGTCGCATTTCTAAGGCGCAATGATACAACTATTTGAACTCTCCGGAATGTTTGAGGTATCACGCCGCATTTGAAGGCGTTTTCAAAACAGCCAAGTTCCGATACCCGGATTATCGTTTGGAGTAGTTCATATTCTTTCGTTATATTCCGTACCACTTGTTTATTTTTAATCCTCGTATAAAAACCACCATTTGCTAAATACACTTCTGGCTCGAGCGCATTTTAGCTATGCATTCACGACTACTAAAATGTCAAGGGAAATCGACAAGACTAGCGTGTATGAAGGCTATTTCAATTGTAATCTGCCGTCACATTTCTAAGGCGCAATGATACAACTATTTGAACTCTCCGGAATGCTTGAGGTAGCACGCCGCATTTGAAGGCGTTTTCAAAACAGCCAAGTTCCGATACCCGGATTATCGTTTGGAGTAGTTCATATTCTTTCGTTATATTCCGTACCACTTTTATTTTTAATCCTCGTATAAAAACCACCCATTTGCTGAATACACTTCTGGCTGGAGCGCATTTTAGGTATGCATTCACGACTACTAAAATGTCAAAGGAAATCGACAAGACTAGCGTATATGAAGGCTATTTCAATTGTAATCTGCCGTCGCATTTCTAAGGCGCAATGATACAACTATTTGAACTCTCCGGAATGCTTGAGGTATCACGCCGCATTTGAAGGCGTTTTCAAAACAGCCAAGTTCCGATACCCGGATTATCGTTTTGAGTAGTTCTTAAGATCAATTACTCATTACAGACTGCCCGCTGACATAAAATGACAATCGCTGAATTCATTTTTTAACACAATATCTCAACATCTTGAATCAGTTTGAAAGCTCTGAGGTATGAAGTTTGCTCCATTTCAACAAGTCGCCTTATTGTTGTGCAAGCAACCGTGTTTATCCATGATTAACTCCAACTGGTGATACTGAGCCTTCATGATGTAAAAGAATCAAGTGACGTTATTTTTTTTTCATTCGGGAAACTTCAAAACATTAGCATTATTCAATTTTAAAAAATGCAGAAAACTTTGCACTCCGCCAAAGCAAACCTCGGATTCAGGTTAAAAATTTCACTGGAAGAATCATCTCATCATGAAGTTGCGTTTCGGCCCGATTTAAAGCAACCCCAGCGTATCATTGGAGAGGCTACCGAACAACCACCCTTTTTTTGGGAAGTCCATTACTGCCGTGCTGAGGAAAAACGCCGTATGAGCTTCCAGGCGTTGCCAAATTTCCTCCGATAAAAACCGACTTTACTGGGAGAATTGTGAATATTATTTTTCAAAATTTTCTGATGATTTTGTGCGCACTTTAATCTAAAATATTTGAAAATTTCAAGGAAAAATATGCATGGATGCCGTCAATAATGCATTTTTTATGAAGGGAAATTTGGCAACTCCGAATGTTCATACGACGTTCTTACCTATCACGGCAGATTAGGTACTGCATCTCATTTTCCGAGAACGAGACTGACAGAGCCTACGACACCAGACGTTTTGCAGACGGCACTTTTTAGTCGGTGGACCTTCTAAAAGCACGTCGAATACTGACGTCAAAGGTAGCGAATTTAAACACTTTTCAGAGGGAAAACAGATAGGATCACAGACATTGCATACGCTATGAGAGCAAGAGAGAGTGTAGTCTATAGGAAATTTTAGACTTTGGGAGCATATCGTACGGGACGACTGAAGTAAAAAATTGCACTCGAAGCGCAGTGGATCGAGGCAATTAGAGAAGTCGGACATGCAATTTTTTAGTATAAAACTGCAAATTTTAATGTTTATCTCGTCACATTTTAAACTTCAAGGGGTGTTTCTTGAAGCAAATTTCACGAAAAAACCGATGAAACCACTTTCAGAACCGCAAAGTTTTATAGAAACGGAGTTATAAGCGTTTAAAGTTTCCAACTTTTGTCCGACCTGTCCCATTGACTCGATCCACTGTGCGACGGTGAAACTACCAGACCACGTATCTCGGTTTGCGACGTTGCCGGCTTCCTGTCTTACTTTATTTTATGAATGGAAAACTACTCAACGTCAATTCTTGAAAAGTTTCGTGAAATTTCTTCTCTGTGCAAAAACATCTGTGTGAGATTTTCAAGGAATGAAATTGACTTACTCTCTCTCTCTCTCTCTCNTCTCTCTCTCTCTCTCTCTCTCTCAAAAAAAAATAAATAAATAAAATAAAATAGGTAAAATAAAATGGGAGCGAAGATTTTTAAACACCCAAGACTAGATTCGTGATCTGGTAGTCTCACTGACGATATTTATGACTGTGACCTTGCAAGTCTCTGCTCATATTGTATTTTTCAAAAGGAAACCTACTGGCTTTCTCCTGAAAATTTCTGAGAATTTTTCTCACTCATGCAGCGGTACTCAAAAAAAGTTTGAGGGGCAAATTCATGTCAGTCTCCTTTCAGGAAAATTGTTAAACAATCAATGGGAGTGTCGCATCTCTCAACTTTAGGCATTGATAAATATTTTAACATCAATTCATCTTGCAAGGAATGGGGGCTCGAGGGTTTGTTTTTTAAAATCGATTTTCGTCTCCTTCCCGGGGATTTTTGAGTGATACCATAGTGCGACTGAATATTACGGATTTTTAAAGACTTCATGTGAACTCATTCTCCTCAATCCTTTGATTTTATTCGTGTACTCAGTAATTTTTATAAAGGGCACAGTTCGTATCAAAAAAGGCAGATAAGGAATATTTCAATAAAAAACCATTGAATGAATAGATGTTTGTCCTTTTTTGCTCATAATTAGAAAATAGGCAACATTTTGAGGTCAATATATTCCTACAATTTTTTTTTTAATTTGGAGTGTGGCATTGAAAGCCTTTAAATTATTTACTTTTTAATCCCATTGGCCAAACCGGGATGGAGGGATTAAGGATTCCACATAGTTCTCTTTGATAGAAATATGTCCAATTTACGAGGAGGAATGTGGAAGCATTGAAATGGAGTTGCGTTCTTTTGTGAGGGTAACGACGATTTGCCTCACTTCTTACCGTATTGCCTGCGCCCATTTTATGTTCACACAAGTATAAACCGGGTTTTACTTCTGATTGAGGACCTTTCGGTGCCGCTCGACGCCAGTTCTCATCGTCCAGTGCAGATACCTCTCCGACCTCAATGCAAAAAGTACCGTCGGCTGTTCCCATGAAATTGAGCCCCACGGCCAATGTAAAATACACGAATGCATTCATTGCATTCATCTGCACAGAGAAATAGGTGTAAGGTATTTCCTTTTTTACTGTAACAAAAAGGTGCGCCCCCTATCTGCTACGCGGTCCAACCCCCAAGAGCGCTTCGCGCCTTTGAAGGTCCGCTTCGCGGACCCTTTGTGGGTTAATCTGGATAGACTGAGCTCGTCTAGCGACTATATTCTATCGATAGCCAAAAGTAGAGTACCTATATAGGGAGAGTATGGACATGTCGAAAATTTTGAGGTTAGGTGATGGAGCTCTCAGACCCCAAAAAGGCAGCCAACCTATGAATTCAAATTATCCAGAATGATTTGTAATCACAATTGTTGGGATCCGTCGTCAGTAAAGCACGTATTGGACTCGGTTTTTGCATAATCTTACCCATTTTTGCGGAAGAATGCTTACTTATGAATTTTCTCGTCCATTTTCGTTTGATATTGGAGTCTGAAGATTGACAGTGACATTTTTCATTTCAAAAGTTACCTACCCTTTTGGGCCCTAAGAGCTACATATTTCGAGCTATCCATACTCTCCCTATATTATGTACTCCAGCCAAAAGCGAGTTTCCAAACTATGGACCGTGATGAAGTGAAAAACAAGGAGACAAATCCAACATGAATATCGACGGCGTAAGTCCGCATTCACATACCTCACCTCGTTTGCGGTGTCTGAAAATCTCCGCCTCTATATTATTTTTTTAAAGCAGAACAAACTAACATCATTCCTGGGAGTTTGTGCGTAACGATAATTATTGGTTCTCAAAAACACAAACCGCATAGGAGCGCAACGTAGTGGCAAATGTCGTCCCTAGATCACATAGAATCACCTTAACCCACTTTATCCCAATTTATCTCGTTTCATCCTGATCCGTCACGTTTTGAAAGAATGTCATGAAAAATTCAAAATTTGTGCACCTCTATCCTCAAAATTTCATAAAACAATTAAAATTTGTGAACTTTCATTTTTAGAATTTCATGTTGGGCTAATATATTAAAATTGAAATATTTTTTGGGACTAAAAATTTTTGACAGATTTCATCTCGGCCGAATTAGCTAGGGACCAATTTTGATATCGGATAAACAAGGGTGGGCAAATCGTCCTACAACATATATTTTTGAAGTTAGATTATAATATGAAGATATAATATTAAGATAATATAAGATATAATATTAGATTATTATTACCAACGAAGTAATGATGATGGAGCTTTTACCTGTGTAACACAGCTTGTCTCCACAGCTCAGCATGAACAAGTGCGTGTTCAGGCGGGAAAAAATATTGGAATCCTGTTGACAGGGACAAATTTGATGGGAAGGGAGAGGAGGTCATTCCTCTTAAATACGTGCGAGGTTCGTTTCAGCGGGTTTTTTTTGCCTGCAAGTGCACAAGTGTCGCTCGTGAAAAATAGGGAATCGTACATAGTAGCGATTAAGTCTCTGCGAGATTGTATAGGATATTACAAAAGTTCGAAGAGGGTGCTGAATATTTATCGAAAGTCTTTCCTCCACTTGAATGTATTATAATTACCAATCGCCCCCCCTAAGCCCTCTTAAAGCCCTCCTCGACAAACATTAGTTGTTTCACATACATTTAAAAGTGCGAAACACATTGCTGCCAAGTGCCACCATGGGAGAGTGGAGATGTTGCATGTGTGAGGAATTTGCGATTTGGCTGTTGCTTCGTATGTAAAAGTTCACGAGAAACACGATGGTGCCACTGGTTTTCTCTGAAATCATCTCCCAATCTCAAAAAAAGCTCTCAAGTTGAGGCCAAAATGAAGGGGATATCCCACCCTACCCTGAGATTCCACCTCTACATCAAAACAAACTCTCCATGCAAAGATAGGGAGCAAATACATAAGCAGGGTTGCCGTGTTTTCAGTTATGGAGTCCCCAAATAAAGTGGCAACCCTGCTACTGTATTTGCTCCCTATCTTTGCATGGAGAGTTTGTTTTGATGTAGAGGTGGACTCTCAGGGTAGGGTGGGATATCCCCTCCATTTTGGCCTCAACTTGAGAGCTTTTTTTGAGCTTGGGATGTGATTTCAGAGAAAACCAGTGGCCACATCATGTTTCTCGCGAACTTTTACATAAGAATCAATAGTCAAATCGAAATTTCTCACAATTGCAAAATAGAACATATTCCAAACATCTTAACCCTTGGATGCCCGAGTCGAGTCATATTGATCGAAGGCTAGCTAAAAAGACATGCGGACTGATTTGAAATTGATAGACGAGCGATGGACACAGAAGACATAAGGGGTATGGAGCGATCCTGTTGATTGAAATGGGTGGCTCTTATGGACTAATGAGGTAAAATATGGGCTAACTATAGGGTCTCTCGTGGATTAGTCTATTGCCTACTTCCTTTGTCCATTGCAGCTCCCCGCTTCCACCAATAGGATCCCTCAATATCCCTTTTGTCTTCTTTGTCTATAGGTTCGTCTATCAATTTCAACGATTAGCCCTCTGGCCCGCAGGCTGTATAGAGCTTTAGAATTAGGTCTAATAATAAATTTTAATAAAATAATCGGAGATAAGATTGGAAAATAAGAAAAAATCGATTGCTAGGGAATTGTTATGACATCTACCCCTGGAAATCCCAAGTCTGGTCAAACTGGTTCGACTCCTTTTTAGAGAGGTTATGGTCCCAGTACATACGAGCTTTAGATATAGGTCTAAAAATACACCCTAGTAAAGGAATCAGACATTAAATTGAAAAAAGAGAAAAACTTGAATGCCAGCACAGTCAAAAAATGGAGAGACTCGATCGGGCCTCGCTTTTTTACTTTTTTGCCGAATCTGAGCGACATCTCATTCGCGTTTTAGAACGGATGATTGTGATGTGAGTTCGCGCCTCGCACCATCGCGCCTTCAATTTTGCAGATGCAGCAAAGGCATCCATTAAACACGAATAGTTGTATCTCTGCACCGTAATCAAAAGACTGCCGTACTATAGAAAAACGTCATATGAGCGTTCGAATGTTGCTAAATATCCTTTAAAAAATATTTCCTTCAGGCGAAAGTTACAAATATTTTAACTCGGGATTTTCAAACACTTCAGATCAAATTTCAAACAAATTTCTCTGAAAAACTGGGAGAAAAATATTGCCAAACGTTTCTGAAAATGTGAGTTTTGTCGAACTAAATTTGATAACGTCTCAAGGTTCATGCGGCGTTCCTCCTTAAGACAGCAGTAACGTGATGCCACACTGTGTGCTTAGAACTACATCTAAACGTCGTCAAATTTCCCAAGCAGGAATTACTAATTTCTTGGAAAATTAATGGTTTTTAACTATCCGTAAACTTCACGGAAAGTTTTACTCATGATTTAATGTGTATAACTCAAGGAAAAATATTCAAATCAATTGACCAAGGTTAATCAATGTTTGAACTGCCAAAAATATCATCCGTAAAACTACATGGTTTATAATACAAAACATAGTAATAGGAAATGTGCGGTTGGGCATGATACCACTATTCGACCTCCTAGGAGCTCGGTGTGCCTATATAATTCATTGAAGGCGTTTTTTTGCCTGTCGTTTCACGCTATATTCCATATGACCTATCGCGGTAACAGCACATTCTCATTTGAATCTGTTAAGAAACAGTTACTTAATGACTTTTTTGCACAAGATATCTAAACTGTCGTCCCGAGGAAAACACCGTATGGGCATTCGAATGTTGCCAAATCTCCTCTGAAATAATCGTTTATTCTAGGAGAAAGTTTTAAATATTAATCCTCGGAATTTTCAAACACTTGGTGTCAAATTCCGAAAACATTTCTCTGGAAAATCGGGGAAAAATATTTTCAAATTTTCGTGAATATATGTGGTTTGTCAAAAGAAATTTGATAACGGCTGAAGGCTCATGCAGTTCTTAAGACGGCAGTATGGGATCCCACTCTGTGTGCGTGGAACTACATTTACACTTTGCCTAGCTTTGAGAGATTGTTCGTTCATTTGAGATAGGTTTTCTCAAGTTTTTCTCTGCACTGATAGAAATATGTTTGTGCTCTCGGGTTATTTATGGCTAAAATACAAATCAACCCATTTTGCGTTGATTGTGGTAAAGTTTGTGGTGAATTTAGCGAAGTAACCAATGGAAAGACTGGGTATCCTCAGAGTTGACCGAAAATTTGGGTTGAAATGAGTTTTACTTCCCGTATTAACCAAACTTTTGTGTTAAATTTTCTCTTTGTGTGGGCAAATCAGTGAGAAAAACTGCCCGCAGATGCGATAAATTTGAAAAAGCGATTTAAAAACTACGCATATCGTGCACTAGCGAGCGGATTTCATACTTTTTTTATGTGCTCATCTTGATTTCTGTGTGATTTTACCCATTGGAAATATACGATGATGAACTTCAAAACGACGAATTTTTGCTTTGCGACGTTGCAGGCTTCTTGGTGTACTTAACTTTTTTGAATAGAGAAGTACTCAACATAAATTCTTAAAGACCTCGGTGATTTTCCTTCTCTGTGCGAGGCAAGTCCTGAGAAAACTTTATGAAATAATGTTAATTTGTTCTTTTTAAAAAAATAAAAAAGGAGTGGAGATTTTTTAACACCACAAACGAGACACGTGGTTTGGGAGTTTCAACGTCGTATAGTCACATGAGCCTGGTACAGACTCGTTCCGTCTGCTCGACTTTTCCCCATCTGTTATACAAAGGGTGTCCCAAAAGTAAGTAGACTGATGCTGCAATTTCAAAACTAAGCTACCTAGCAACTTGATCTTGGTCCCATTTGAAAGATTCAATCCTCTTTTATTGATTGAGACCAAGATCTACTCATTTGAATAAAAATATAACGAGTTATGACACTACATGTAAGGGGTGTACGCTGTACGCGCGCCGCCTACGAGTTTTTAACAAAAATTTATTCTATCCGCTATCGTCAGACTCCACCAGATTATCAGGTTGCTTCTCAAAGAATTTTCCGTTGTTGTTTACACACTAATGTATCCTTTCCTCCCATATCACGAGCATGATCTTCTCAAATTCTTCCCGGGGAATTTTTTGAAGGTTTTTTGGACAGCCGTCTTGATTTCTTCCTTGGTCCTGAATCTTTGACCGTGAACCTCCTTCTTAGAGTAGGGAACAGCCAGGAATCACAGGGAGCAAGATCTGGGCTGTACGGCGGATGTCTTAGAAATCTAATACCTTTGCTTTCCAAAAATTCACGGGTAAAATTGGATGTGTGCGCCCTCGCATTATCCCGATGGAGAATCCACGAACTTTTCAAATGGGGCCTTTTCCGGGAAATGTGCATCCGCAATTCCGCCAAAACATTGCAGTGGTACTCGCTGTCAACTGTCGTGTTTTCTGTCACAAAGTGCTGGTAAATAATGCCCTGAAACTCAAAAAAAGCAACAAGCATGGCCTTACACGCAGACTTTTCTTGTCGAATGAAAAACTCGTAGGTGGCGCGCGTACTTCCCTTACATATAGTGTCCTAACTTGTTGAATTGTTATTCAAATGAGTTGATCTTGGTCTCAATCAATAGAAGAGGATTAGATCTTTCAAATGAGACCAAGATCAAGTTGAAACCCGTAGCTTAGTTTTGAAATGGCAGCATCAGTCTACTTACTTTTGGGACACCTTTTGTAGATCGAGTTATTTTATTCGGTTATTCTAATTTCCACTAGACGTGAATTTTATGATGTGTTGGCGAGGCTAACGTGTTAAAATTTTCGCGTGCGTAATCAAGACTGATTCAACCCAAGAGTGGGCCTCTCAGATTCGAAGTAGGTACGACCAACGCAACGTTTGCTGCAAGTACAAACGTCGTTTGAACGATCGAACGCTGCCACATTTCACCCTATAAAACATTTATTCATTAGGGAAGTCATCAATTTTCCGACAATTTCGCAAGAAAAAAACTCCAGCACATGTGCTGGAGTTGAATTCAACTTTTGTAGACTGGCCTAGAGTTGAACTTTCATTCCAGGATTGCTGATGTCACTATTGTACGTAAATAGGTGAGGTAGGCGGTAGAGAGAACGACGTATTTTTTTTATCTTGAATTTAACCACATTCTCCTCATCTAGAAATGAAGTTGGATGGTGCACAACCTCTTTAAATTATGGATAGTTGATTTATCGTTCTATAATCTGTGTCTTCAGCGGTGACTTTTATTATCATGATAATACCTCTGCTGAGTCTGATAACTATCTTGAAAATACGAGATTTGAGCTGCGCGGTCGCTAAGTCGAAATCTTTGAGTAAGTCCATCCTCATCACGTAACCGTTATTTTCCCTTACAGAGTAGAGAGAAAGGAAATAGACAATTTTCATATCTATAGCTGACAGACTCATAATGTATGACGCTCATAACGACCCATCAAACCTATGTTAACTGTAAATCTTTTTCTCCTAAAAACAGTGACATAAATCGAGAAATCGCTTCGTCGCGATAGGCACGGATTCCATTTCAGTACTGAATACTATTGAGTAAAAACGAGTCGGAAGGCCAATTACACCATTCAGTCACAAAGACACGCAAGTGTCATTTTGTGTCTGGTTGTGTTCACATTTGTTTTCGAGGCTGTCTATTATTTTTCAGATCGCTGTGTCGTGAAAGGTTGTCCTCTGTTGATGTGATCCCACTTCCCATTATTTGGAATATTTTACCATCAGATCTCCGTCAGCAAAGGTTTTTTTTCGTTCTCATTTTTCCCCTGTTTTCGCTATAAGCCGTCCTCATTTTGATCGGGAAACGTTGGAATCCTTTACAAAGAGAGACAAAGCAATACTTGCACATATTCAAAGGCTTATGTTCCTTCACGCTTGCTTTGAGTCAAGAAATTGAGACAAGAGATTCGTTATTCGTGCACTGAAAAAAAGTAGCTCGGATCAAGCATGATAATTCTTGAATTTGCCGCCAAGAATTTTCTTTATCTTGCTTTAAGCTGGCTTTTTCTTGATTCAAGAAAAATCAGCTTGGGTTAAGCAAAAAAGTAGCTTATATTAACCAGCAAGATTCTTGATTAAGGAAGAAATACTTCTTGGCGGCAAATTTAAGATTCTTTTTTTTCCAGTGTGAGATAAATTGTCCCAAATATTTACCGAGTATTTACAATTAGCTCAGCACCGATTCATAATTAAAAATAAGTACCCGCTGACAATATTTTCGTATTTCAATTTATAAATTTTTGTTTTTGGATTTTTTCTTAAGATATACATTTTTCTTTTAAAAAATCTAAAAATATTTGCGTCGAAAATGTGTGTGTGTGTTTTCTTTCTAGCATACAGACTTGACGTTTTCTGAAATTGTTCAGCAAAAATTTAATTAATGATCAATGAACAAGGAAATATACCGAATACCATTGTTGAATGCTGCTAATAATAGTTAAAATCTCATTACTTAGCATATCATATCTCCTAGATAATTTTTTTTTTTTTGGGGGGGGATGCTAAAAGACAGATTGTTTCTTGTTTTTTGTCAGTTGTGTTTTTTTCTCTTGTGTGACTTAATTTCTTCTTTACGTCTGACAGTGAATCTGATCAGTGGTTTTGCTGAACGGGCTCCAAATGTAAAAGTCACAAATCCGTCAATTTTGGTTCTACTTGACCAGTTTTTGTGTTAAAAAAGTTACTTTTACTTGTTACGAAACATTAAGCAGGTTAAGAGAATAACCACTAAACAAGGTACGAATTCAAGCATTCCGATAAGTAATCCCTCCTCAAAATTTCACGTAGTACACGATTTGCGCAAAGCAACTCACTAAAATTAACTCCTAACCAAGATATTAACGTTTTTACTCAGCCCTGGTCACGAAAAATTTGAATTTCCCGCCAATAAAAACTTGAGTCCACGCGAGTCGTATCGCCCACTCTAAAGATTACGGGAACAAAAGTGTCAGGGGTGATCCCCCAAAATTGTTCTACTAGCCAAATTTGTTGGATGATATGGATATTTCCAATTAATATTGGTAGCACCGCAACTCAAGTTGGGATAATACCGCAACATTTGGGTTAGTAACCTAATTTATCGGTATACTACCACAATTAATTAGGATACTACGACAATTCATCGGGTATTACCACAGTTAATTGGGAATGTCCATATCATCCACCAGTTGGGACTTAGTCCCTACCTCTTATTTTTCTGTGATGTTGGCAGGCTTTTCAATCGAGCAGTATTCTGCCGTGCTGCGGAAAAACGCCGCATGAGCCTTCAGACGCTGCCAAATTTCCTTCGATAAAAACCGAAGTTACCGGGTGAATTGTGAATATTTTTTTCCAAAAATTTCAGACAATTTCGTACGTTGACTAGGGCCAGATTTACCTACTTGCCGCCCATGGGCCGTCTATATTTTGCTGCCCCCTCTCATTCGTTTTGAAACATCAATAAAGACCATCAAGTGAACGTGCCGGAGGGGGAAGGATGCATAAGACGCGTTTACCCACTCGTGTTTGATACAATTTTTGCGAAAGCACTGTCAACACTACTAGCAAAATTTCACAGAACTTTGCTCAAAAGTTAAGTTCCATAAACCTATCTCTGTGCGGTTAAGGTCCTCCATTTATAAGAAATGAACCAAAATATTATGAAAGAACATAAATGTGATTTAATAATTTTAACTTCCGCCGCTGCGCCGCGTTGATCGCACTGTGTTTGGCGCAATGCGTGAAGTACTCCCGCAGTCTTGTAGGCGCTATGCGTTTCACGCCAATCGCTCCTGACCGCACTGTGCTTGGCGCAATGGGCGAAGTATTCATGCAGTCTTGTAGGCGCTGATATGTGTTACATGCCGACCGCCGCGCCGAGGGCTTGTCCGTTTCATCCCAAGTCCGCGTCATCATTCCTGTCTGCACTGAGCTCCAGGTCAAAGTGCGTGTTTAGTTCCTCTCTTAACTCGACTAATTAAAGATGCTGTCTCTTGCATCACCGAAAAACGACAAAATTAGAAATTACTGTACTCTCATCAGGAAAGAGAGATTTTGTCCCCTTTTCTCAATGATAATTTTCTTTTCTAAATCCGATTTTCGATTTAAAAAAGTTGCAAAATTTGTCGCCATGGGCCGAGGCACATGTGGCCACCCCTTAATCCGGTCCTGCACTTCAATCTGAAATACCTGAAAATTTCAAAGAAAAATGTGCACGAGTGTCGTCAAAAATACATCTTTTATCAAGGGAAATTTGGCAACTCTCGAATGTTCTTACGGCGTTTTTCCTTGGCTCGGCAGTGTTTCTTGCATGCCCGATATTTTGCAAAGTGTATCGGCTGAGCAGAGGTACCAAGTTTAAGGTTGCTCTATTTTCATATCCCCGAGACTGTTAGTTATGGTAACGCCTAGTAAGAATTTAATTCACAAAAAAAAAAAAAAATGGTTTTCATGTGAGCTGAAAGTTTTAATTTATGCATCGGGAAATATTAATATCTTAGTTTGGAGTTCCCTAAAATAATTATTGTTCGACAAATCGTGTTCTACGAGCGAAATTTTGATGAGATAACATAATATTATCATCTTTGAATTGACAACTTCTCTAAAAGTCAATTATTCAAGCTCGTTATTCGGAGAGCTAAATGTGGCAATGCCTCTCTTGACTTTTGAATGGACGAATTCTTGCTAAAAGGCACTTTATGCATGTTAAGCAATGTAATAAAAAAAAAATAAAAAAAAAAAAAAAAAAAAAAAAAAAACTATGCAGCTCGCAACCCTTTACGTTTGCAGTTACAGTTTTTACAGTTCCGTTTGATTGAATTCGTCTTCATATTGTTTCATTCAGCATAAAAACCTAAGTGTTACCTTCAATTGGACAGTTTTGGTTAATTTCGATCCATTTTAGGACATTTCTCGCTATTTTATGAAATTCCCTCTACTTTTCCTACGGAAACATTTTGCCTGCCCTGCCTTTTAATATTTGACTGACATGACAATTTCGGAATGATTCCCTTAAGACGCACTGGAACCCTGATTGTAGCGGAGGTTTGAATAAACGACAGTTTGGATTCATAAGCATTCGGAAACTTCCTTCGTTCAATAACAAAATGCATTATGAAATTCATAATCTGTTTTCATAACTTACGTTACATTGTGATGTGTTACAATTCAAATTGGTATTCGAGTTCTCTTCCTTTCGAGTCGCAAATTACTATATAAAACCCATTATTTTTAGTTCGCAAGGAACGAAGTTTTGATGATTTCCCTCTCAGAGAGCCTCTTTACTTGAGGCGCGTGGACGGGCATTTGAAGTATGTTATGCCCTCTATAAGCGTAGAACTTGAGGAAAAAGAGATCAAAGATGGCCTTCAAGTTTTCATACAGACGGACAGCAAGGAGGAGCTGATTTTAGCATGCCCCGGCGATAAGAACAAACTGAGGTCGCAGAAAACCTGGAGGAAAAAGAGACAAAATACTGGTAGTGGCACGCCAAAACCGATCGTATTCCCCATTGGCCGAATGGAATGTACTGAGAGATTGCCGGCAGTTATTGATCCTTCAGGACACTCTTGCGCAAAGACTGGGACACAGATGGAAATAGGATTTCAGGTGTAATGATCATTATTTTTGGGTGGGTTCTCGATTAAGGGGTCCTTCCTACATAAGTGACCGTTTTCAGACGAAGGAACGTAACTCCACTCCAATGTTGCCAAATTGACTCCAACAATTTAATCGTTTACAGAATTATGACAGTGCAATTTCTGTCTAAATTTGTCTGGTTTTTGTGCTAAAAAAATTATTGAAATTTCCAGATAGAAATATGTAGCAGTTGTTGCGTGGATATCATTGGCAGATCCAGCAAATTTGCAACATTGTTTTTCTCCATTTAACCCTATGGAAATGTATTGACTCTTGCAGGGCCTAGGAGCTCCGACAAGAATCGATTATTTAACGTAGGTTTAAATAGTGGCAACAGTGTTGCCAAATTGCTGGATCCGCCTCTGGTGTATATACAATCTGCTAATATAAATTTCACAACGTTGAGATGACGTTACGTTCTTTCGTCTGAGCAACGACGAAAAGTGGAGCAAAAAATCGTTCATACCACTTGGCCCGTTGAATAAAATGTTTGATTCATGTTCTTGTTACTTTCAAGCACGTTAACCAAACTCGTATGTGCAATTTGCCTTAGTTAGAATTTTAGCCAAATGAACGGTAGAATTCGCTTCATAAGACCGCGACTCTATGTATATACAGAAAGTTCAGTTCCTTATATAGAAATTTCGACGCATTAAGAGAAATGTTTAGTATCATAAGCAAGGCGTTCGGTTTGATCAGGGACAAGAGACCCTTCACTGGCCTCTTGGCGACAGGTTGAAACTTTTACTTTCGGTGACTCAACACTTACGCATGGACGATTAAAAGGGAGCAACAGTCATCATTCTTTTTTCGGCTGTTGACCTACCTACATAGTGGATGATGAGCTTTGGTTGACGTCATGAGCCAAACAAGTTTCCTAAACTTCAGCATGTTTGCAAAACGAAAGTGCAAACACGTTGTTAAACATCAACCATGTAGGTAAGTCAACAGTTTAATGTTGAAGTCCCGAAAATGAAAGTTTCCACCATAGCCGAGATACGAGTGGTGGGTCTCTTGTCTCTGAGTTTGATCAACGTAAAATTTGGCTCGTGAACTTCGAGTTTGGTTATATGAACAGACGGAGCTGGTTTTAAACAGAGAGAAGAATTTCACAAAATAGAAAGTTCAATTTTATGAACAGTACTTTTGGTTCAAAACACTCTCTCAGCATTTTGTCATTGTATGCTTTAAGTCAAAAGTAATATAAACTCAACTGCAAATTCACCCCCATAATCATAACAGTTCAGTACCGAATTTTAACGCACATATTAAAATTGCATCTCTCTGTTAATCCTTTGGACCAATATTTTTAGTACCATTAAAGAGAGACAATTTTAGAGAGATTTCTATACTCCATTTATTTTGTCTCTGAAAAATATACCTCCTTAACAGGTTGGGAAGGATCTGGATCTTGTGCCACTGATGTCACTTTGCCATGACTTGATCAAAGCAGACACATTGTACGTCGAACATGATCTTCCATCAAAAATTTGCGAAGCCACATATTTCGAGCCTCGACCTGATTTTCAAGAGGGCCCATTGCCTCTTTATAAAGACGTACCATTGAAGGAAATCTACACGAAGGTAATAACTTCTTACGTGCTCGTGCCTTAACGAAATTTTAATTTTTGTAGAGCTACTTTTTAGCCATTGACCAGTGGTGTTCATGTTAAAATGTGTTTTCTGTAAAACGCAATGGTAGAATGACATGCAGGCGTTTGAAGTCTTTTGAAGCAAAAAGGCTACTGTGAAAAAACAACTGTTAACACATGCTCCTTCCGCTTTTGGAAGTGATTAATTTTCGCCCTTTGAATTTGCCCAGAACTAATGCATATCGACGGTGTAAGTTCGCAATCACATAACTCGTTTGCGGTGTCTGAAAATCTCCGCCACTATGTTATTTTTTTAAAGGAGAACAAATTGACATTATTCCTTGAAGTTTTTGCAGATATTTCTTCGCACAGAGAAGAAAAATCACAGCAGTTTTAAAGAATTGCCGTTGAGTAGTTTTCCGTTTAAAAAATAAAGTATGATAGGAAGTCTGCGACGTCGCAAACCGAGTTATGTGATTGCCGACTTACAACGTCGATATGTGATTTTCCTAGGGAAACTCATGAAGGTGCCTCCATTGCAGTTCCGCGAAATATTCGATATTCAATCATTCAGTGTGAAATTATTGGATATTAGGACTGTTTTTAAATTTCAACAAGTTACATCAGGCTTTAGTGCATCAGTTATTTACGAAGAAAAGTTTGGGAGATATTTTGATGGATATTTTTTTCACTCCAAAATTGCTCTCAACAGAGTATCGCAAAACGGAGACAAAAGAATGGATCTGTTGTACGCAAGAGATACATCCAAGTAAATTTACTTTTCCCGCGTAAAATTGCATGAAAATTAAGATGGACACATAAAAAAAATCGAGGTCCACTTATTGGCTCACGATTTGCGTGGTTTGTAGGTAACCAGGGCCGGATTTACCTACTTGCCGCTCGCCGCCTGTATTTTGCCAACCCCATCTCATTCTTTTTGAAACATCAATAAAAACCATCAAATGAACGTGCCAGCGGGGGAGGAGTGCATAAGACGCGTTTACTTGTGTTGAACACATTTTTTAGGAAAGCCCTGTCAACACTTCTAGCAAAAGTTCACGGAACTTTGCGTGAAAGTTAAGTCTCGTAAACCTATCTCTGTGCGGACAAGGCCTTCCATTCATAAGAAATGAACGAAAAAATTATGAAAGAACAAACATAAATGTGGATTAATGATTTTAACTTCCGCCGCCGCGCCGTGCAGACCGCACCGTGTTTGACGCAATGCGTGAAGTATTCCGACAGTCTTGTAGGCGCTAAGAGTTTCACGCCGACCGCTGCAAAACTCACTGTGTTTGTCGCAATGCGTGAAGTATTGACGCAGTCTTGCAGGCGCTATGCGTTTCACGCTGATCACACTGTGTTTGCCGCAATGCGTGAAGTATTTGTGCAGTCATGTAGGGGCTAATATGTGTTACATGCCGATCGCCACGCCGAGGGCTTCTCCTTTTCATTTGAATTCCTCGTCATTGTTTCTCTTTAAGTCGCGCCGTTCCAGGACGAATTGTGTGTTCGGTTTCTCTCTTAACTCGACTAATTAAAGGTGCTGTCTCTTGTATCACTGAAAGACGACAAAAGTAAAAATTATACTATACTCTCAGAAAATTAGAGATTTTGTCGCCTTTTCTCGTTTGTAATTTTCTTTCTAAATTCGAATTTTCTATACCTACATAAAAAAAAAATTCAACATTTGCTACCCCCTACAGATTTGCCGCCATGGGCCGCGGCCCGTGTGGCCACTCCCTTAATCCGGCCCTGTTTGGAACACGCTTCTTAAATTTTGTGGAGTCTGCGAGCAATTTTTCTCGGTAGCCGCCAGTCAAGTTTGCCCATAGAGAGACTCAAAAAAACCTAGCTTAAATAAACAAACAATCTCGCAAACTGGTAAAAACTCTCCTTCCGTAAGATTTCGCAAAACAAAGAAAGGCGACAGAGACAAAAATGTGCTTTGAAACGACTGAAATCATACTTTGGAAAAAGTTGGCGAAATTGTTAGTTTATTCAGGTTTAGGATTTTTCACTCCTATGTCTGTGCGAACGTGGTCGCTGGTGACTGAGAAAAACATCCCGCGGTCGCGGAAAACTCGAAAAAAAAGTGTGACGAGACTAACCGCAGATCGCGCGCTGAGGATGGATTTTAGACTTTTTTATGTCCCCTTCGTGATTTTCGTGCAACTTCACCATTATAGAAACTCTATTTGCTAGCTGTATACTGCCGTGCTAAGGAAGAACGCCGTACATATCGTCAGGCGTTGCCAAATTGCCTTTTATAAAACACGAATTTCCTGATAAGCTTATGAATACTCTTCTTTCAATTTTACAGATAATTTTGCTCGCTATTTCACTTAAAGTTCCTGAAAATTTCAAAGAAAAATATTCATAACTTTCTTCAAAAATGAACATTTTATCGAAGGAAATTTGGCAACTTTCGAATGTTTATACGGCGTTTTTTCTTAGCACGGCGGTAAACCTTGCGTGTAGCACATCCATTTGCATAATTCACCCTAGACATATTTTCAAAGTAACTTTAGAGTGTTTCTCGATCACATTTTTTCAATATATATTTGACGCATAACTTCTCAAGAGCCGTACTCAACTCCATATTCCATATGCACCTCACTTTTTTCCTCCTTTTACTTCTTTAACCCCCTTTAAGTATTCATTTTGAACCAGTACATACTTTGTACGATTTTAAAGATCATCAATTACTTGAATCTTTTTAATGATCTTGAATTTGCTAACCAAACTGAAAACCCCTGGTTTAAAACAACTTCAACTATAATAGGTATAAATCTATTATTAACCCCAGACATTTCTGATCATTGTCCAAAATAATCTCCTAAACGATTAATTGTGAAAAATTGGTTTAATCGCCCAGGATACGTATCTATACTATTAATATTGACTTTTTACAGATGGAATTTAATAATATTCAACTAAATATTCGAAATCCTTATAATTATCGTATTAATGATCATTATGGCTCAAGGATACCAGCTAGAACTAGTAGAAGCCACACTATTTTTAAATTTTTAACTTTCTCATATTTATATAAGTGAAGTTTTGTCCCTTTCGGGACAAGGAAATAAAAAAGAACGAAGTAAAGTNGATGGATGTGGGGGGCCTGCTTGGGGAACATGACTGATACCTAGGTACTCACCATGGAGTGCACTCGCCGGGCAGGGGGAAAAATTAAATACATATAAAATACAAATTTTATTTCCCTATAAAATTCATCTATTTTGTATGTATAAAATTTATATTAAATACTGAATCTAAATACTTATATTTAATACATGTATAAAATACATATATTATACTGTATCTAGATTCAAGTATTTAATACATGTATAAAATACATATAACATACGAATTAAATACGGTATTTGAAGATACCGTATCTGATACTAGTATTTTTGCTACTAGGGCAGTGGCAAATAATCAACGCAGGCAATTGGAAGAGTCTTGAAAATTACGTGAGAAAAGTAGCAGCTAAGGTACTCACTATGTAATTCATTATAGGTAGTAATCCTTGAGAAAGAGCGATGAGAAAATTTAGGAGAGGTACCGATTTTTAAATCAATATTAAGAAGAATCAGAAAATAACCTTTGACACCCTCTAAAGAAGTAGTTCATCGGAGAATGAGCTATTTGAGGTACAAATGGACGTATTTCTGCCAAACGGAACTATGTGCATTAAGACATGAGCCCTGAGACCCATAAGAATATATACATATCAGGGCTCACGTCATAATGCACATTGTTCTGTTTGATAGAAATACGTCCAAATTATAGTAGCTCAGAGCCTGCTTTTTCATAAAAGTCTAACGCTCAACACGTTGCACGTGTTAAAACATCTCCAAATAACTCTTTAGTGGAAGAGTTTACTTTGAAATCTGTAAGTAAAAACTTCTCGCCTCTGAAAAAACCAAAATTCATAAATTTCATTTTCATTCATAAAAGCACCTATCTGCATATAGAACATAATGGTATATGTTTTGTTTCTCGATCGTCCAAGCCTCACCTTGGGCAATGGGTATAAATTCTGAATAACCATGTATATCATGGTTTTATACTTCTTCGCTCCTCTAACGTAAGGGATTAACTCGATTTTTTTATGAGCCCAAGAAAGCAGGGCTATCCTAAAACAGGGCTCATCTTGAAAGTGAGATACGTCCTTACGTCAGAGCAGGGACGAAATGTGCAAATAATTTCTGTCTTTTTTCCATGATTTGCATGCAGACAGGCGAGGATTTGCGAATCATCACGGGTACGTTCGGGGTCCTCAAGATGTATTCTCCGAAGAAGAGATCATCCTTTGAGGTCTATTTACACCCAAATAAAGTCCGGGTGCCTGCAGCATTCTTCAAGATAATTCAAAGCAAGGCAACTAATAAAGCGATCGTAGCGATTTGTTCAAACGACCCTTTCGCCACGAAGGACACGGCGCCGAAAGAGCTTTGTAAGGATATTGCAGCGCAAAACTCATGGCCGGACGACAAAAAAGAATTCTCCAAGGGACGGATATATTTCTGTGACGTCGGAAAGTTCCTGAAACAAGTTCAGACTGCGCCTAAAATTTCGTATAAAGGGATTCTGCAAGGAATCGAAGAGTCGCTCAACCCACCTACAATTTCCCGAGTCCAGAGCGGTCGGGAGAGATTAGAAAGATGCCTACACTCCATGTTAACACGGAGCAAGCGGATGATAAGTCGTAGTATGAGGATTCTCAGAACCCCTTAAAACTTGAATGGAGTTGGTGAATAAAAAATAGGACTCTAAACCATGAATGAATTTTGACTTGTGAATGCATACTTCCGATGTTGATGTACGAGGCTTCTTGGTCGCATACCAAGGTTCGAGATCTTCTACTTGTGAGTTTAAAACTTACGAGACGCGGAAGATGTACGTTTAGGTACGTGCCTTTGATTCCTAGGAATGCAAACACGGCTATCGGGTCGAACGTATTGTTCGATTCGAGATCTCTCACTTGTGAGTTTAAAACTCACAAAGCGGAGAAGATGTGCGTTTACGTGCTTTTCGAATTTCCTAGGGGTAGAAACACGACTATTAGGTCGAACGCATTGTGCGATTCGAGATCCTTCACTCGTGAGTTAAAAACTCACGAAGCGCGCCAGATGTGCGTTTACATGCTTTTGGAGATTCCTAAAGGTGCAAACTTGGCTATTCAGTCGAACAGATTGTGCGGTTCGAGATCTCTCACTTGTGTGTTAAAAACTCACAAAGCGCAGAAGATGTAACTTTACGTGCTTTTGGGGGTTCGTAGGTGTGCAAACACGGCTATTCGATCGAAGGCACTGTGCGATTCGAGATCTTTCACTTGTTAGATTAAAACTCACAAAGCACCAACGATGTAACGTTACGTGCTTTGAAGACTCCTAGGGGTGAAAACACGGCTATTAGGTCGAACGCATTGTGCGTTTTGAGATCCTTCACTTGTTAGTTTAAAACTCACAAAGCGCGCCAGATGTGCGTTTACGTGCTCTTGGTGATTCCTAGGGGTGCAAACAGGACTATTCGGTCGCACTGATTGTGCGGTTCGAGATCTCTCACTTGTTACACATTACCACGCATACATTAACTGCGATCGACGTCATCAGCCCCAGTAATGCATTATAGTCTCTGCTAGTTTCATTTCAGCATTGAAGCACGAGAGGCAACCAAAGAAAATGTGTTCAATGTTAAGGTAACGAAACTACATTTTGTACTTCTGCAGTTTAGGATGTAAACCATCTGTTGGCGCGTATACGTAGTATACCGCCTTTGCGATCGTTTCGAACCCTGCTCGATACAATAACCGAGTCCCTTAGTTCCTTACCGAAAAGTGACTACCGCGAACTTCTGAGATTTTCCAAAGCGTGTAAAAAGTTTATTTATCCGTCAATAATTATGATTTAAAATTGTTTCTCATTCTGGGGCTCTCTAGTTTATGTGCAGTGAATACCAAGAGTCTACGTTACTTGGTTTTCTTAAAAAAAGCCTAAGAGTACGACGCGCTGATTTAAAATATGCATATATAAGCAGAATCAAGCGAACCGATTCGAGGATGGCTGAGCAGGTCGGCACTCTCGGAATGAGAATTTAACTCCTCCGTTTTGTTCAAAACGTTGCTTTGACAGATCTCCACACCTCTGTTATACTTTTCAAAAGTTGGTACCCGTGTTCTGATAGTGCAATCTGTGCAAGTGCAATCTGTGATGAGCCTCGAGACTCATTAGACCATTAGCTAAACGTGGCTCATACAGGAATCCACTTACCCCTCTCTTCCCCACGCTCCTGATCACTGCGTCGGCGTCTCGACGAACAATAGCTAATGACGGTCGCCAAGCGAGGCCGGGATCCTCAGCCCCTCGCCCAATTACTTACGCTTCATTAACCATTTCACCGTCACGCTAGGATTCGCCCAATTTTCAAAAAAAATTGTTTCGCGAGTTTTTAGCAATTTTTTCCTTACTCTCCGTTGAAACACGAATTAAAAGAGGTCTCATTCATAAAAATCGGCCAAATAGAAGAGAAGTTACAGTATTTGAAATCCGAAGAAATCAACAAAACTTCTCCAAACAAAAAATAAAATGAAGGGGGAAAAAAGAAATGTATAAATTACAATTTAATATGATTGACCTCAGAATGTGACAAGCAATTCCATTATAAAAAGGAGAAAAAAATTGAGTGAAATTACAAAAAATTAGCCTCTCGCAAGGGGCTTCCTTGTATGAGTTTTGACCTGAAGACAAGTAAATCCCGTTATATTATTAAAACGAAATTGACTCCATAGTTTAATGCCTTAGTTTCTTGAATACGATTATTTTAAGCACTCGAAAATTTATACCAGCAATTTTACCCATGGGGTGATTTCCTGAGAGCTGATAATATCACGAATTTCTCATAGAGCCCTTCAAAAATGGCTTGCTTTTTGGACAGCCAATTCGGCCATCAAACCGGGGTTTAAATGGAAGCTGATAATAACACAAAGCTCTGAGAAAAATTTTGAGATGAGTATAGGAACGGTTTGTAAATTACGAGGAGAGGCGGGCATTCTGTTCAGCGTATCGATACATAAGTACGAGGGGCGTTCAATAAGTAAGTATCCCCCCTCTCTAAAATCCATTAGAATGTACCAATTTTAAAAAACTTGGGCTCAAAATCTTCCTTAGGATATTTTGAGTTCAACAAAACAACCCGCAACAAAATCGGACCATGTGCGGCCGAACGCGAGCCGTTTGAACGCGCCGAGGTGCTCGACGCTCCCGCCGAATCCGCGGGGATTTGAAGTCCCCGACAGGAGAAGAGCTTCCCTGCCAAAGCCTCAGTCGTTCATCACTGACGAAAAATCAAAGAAATTTTTGTAGAATAAGGGGCTTACCTTACTTCTCCACATAACCAGCTCGATCCAAGCAGGTCTGATACTGAGACTAAGAGAACACCTTTTGGATGCCACACGCGTGGAAGTCTTTCAACTGACCGGGGATGAAAGAGTGGACGGTTGACCTCCTCCACTGATTTAAAATTAACTCCTCCAAGTTCAGATTTCAGAAACGGGAATAAATGATGGTCTGGTTTGCCATATATTATCGTATCTGAAATCTGGACTCGGAGGCGTTAATGTTGAATCAGTGGAGGAGGTCAACCGTCCACTCTTTCATCCCCGGTCAGCTGAAAGACTTCCACGTAGCATCCAAAAGGTGTTCTCTTAGATCGGACCTACTTGGATCGAGCTGGTTATGTGAAGAAGTAAGGTAAGCCCCTTATTCTACAAAAATTTCTTTGATTTTTCGTCAGTGATGAACGACTGAGGCTTTGGCAGAGAAGCTCTTCTCCTGTCGGGGACTTCAAATCCCCGCGGATTCGGCGGGAGCGTCGAGCACCTCGGCGCGTTCAAACGGCTCGCGTTCGGCCGCACATGGTCCGATTTTGTTGCGGGTTGTTTTGTTGAACTCAAAATATCCTAAGGAAGATTTTGAGCCCAAGTTTTTTAAAATTGGTCCATTCTAATGGATTTTAGAGAGGGGGGATACTTACTTATTGAACGCCCCTCGTATTTTCACATGTATAATTTAATTTTCACGTCAGGGAGTCGACAAATTTTGATTTTTTCGATTTTATACGGAAAATTTATGGTTTTTCGGGATTGAAATTACTTACAATTGTTTCATGAAAAATGAATGCACCCAAAATGACTATAGCATTTTGACTTTCACATACGTGCACTCACTAAATTGATTGGTAAATTCAAAGAGTGGGTACATCGACCTGGTATATCAAGTTTCTGCGATTTTTTACGGCAAATTGGTAGATTTTCGGGATGTGGATTGCTTACTTTCAATTCATGAATGAATAAAGCATGGACATGGTTGAGCTTCTTTGCATGAAAAGAAGTTTAAAATAACAAAATCAAGACATATTTAATACAATTGCATTTATATCGAGTCAATTTCTTTTCAATAATATAACGGGATTTATAATACCGGTGATTTGGGTATTTTAGCCCCAAAATACCTTTAAATCGACTTTATCTTCTAGGAGTTCGACAGAATTTTTCCTTTCTTCGCTTAAATTTTTCCGTAGCACTTTTCTTCAAGAATCTGATAAGATTTTGCTTGAGGCAGATCAAAAAACTTAACTTTGTTCGAATAGCTTTCTAGATTCACAATACACGGTCTCGTGAAGGTGCGTCGTTGACCTTGCAGTGTTGGATCGTGAATTCTCTTGTTGTGCTGCTTGCCTTTTTTGAAATCTCTGTAAATGAAAACTAAAGGGGTCGATATGTGCGAGATAATGACGCGCCTTATCAACACATTGTGTTGGGGTTCACTGCTTGTTTTTCTTATACTTTCATGGCATATAAATTTATCTGATGTTTTTGTTTTATTCTCTCTGATTGCATATTAGAAATTATATCCTCATTTCATTTCATTTCCTTTCCCTTTCCTTTTTCCCTTTCTGTAGCATCTGTGTCCATTTACAATTATTATTTTAAAATAGCTTTCCCCTAGTGTACAATTTTGATGCTTCAAACGGAATCAATTGTTTTAATGACATTTCCAGCTAAATCATGGGATTTCCCAGGAAGGTAGCCTCTCTTCCCTCCCGGACTCTATTGTTGCCAGATAAGTTGCTTTATTAACACTTTTCCCAATTCAAATCCATGTAAAATATTCACATTTATCGCACAATCTGGCAACCTCTCGAGTGAAATAGAAAAAGGTAGAATCGCTGAAAGTCTGAATCCTTCGAAGTTTATATTAATGATGATGATGTGCGAGTACACGTATGTGAGAGGGATCTAATCGTATCGTTATCCAATCGTAATTTACATTTGTGTTTTTTCTTGAAAGTACGCTCTGGTGCTACATGACAATTTTTTAAACGCTTAAGGTATGCTCCTTTGCTACAGACTATCCAAAAGCGACGAAACGCTCCGTTCCGTTCGTTCCGTTTCGTTTCAGTCTCGGCGTGAAGTTTGAAATAAATGCCGATTTTTTCATTCGATTGTTATTGGTCCAATAGCTCCCGGCCGGAGGGAGATTGGTTATATGAGGGTCGGGTATGAAAATATTTTCATTTTTTCGGTCGTTCTTTTGCCGACGCGGGCCTAAGAGAGCGGGAAGCGCCATCCGGGGGCATAGCCCCCTAGTACATTATAATGAACGAAACTATAAGTTGCCAATTTACGCGAATCGTCTTTTTATTCTTTGCGCTCGGTAATATCGATGATCTTGCGAGCCTTGCAATCAAATTGTGAGACATAGTTTCTTTAAGTCGACCTCTGAGTGAGCGCCACATAAAGATACACCCAATTTGCACTCTTATGTCACGAGAGGTAGTTAGAGTGCTGAGGTAGATACTTAGGTTCATACCTGATAACACGGAAACACGGGCTCCACATTGACTATAAGTGTCAGTTTTATTGCTTGTAAACCTTGTTTGACGCTGATTTTAATGGTCGCAATCAGAGTCATTCTTTCGACAGCTGAAACTTCCTGAAGAGCTTACTTATTAGTATCTTTGTTTACTCGCTATGAGTGTTTGCTTTTTGGTTTGCTGAAAGCTCATACTGTAAAACTTTGGGAATGTCATAATATAGCCCAATTTTATATATTTAATACTCGTATTTTTTAAATAGATAAGTCACATGACAATGGAGTACACAAACATGAACATGAATGTACACTGTACATTCTGAAAAACCACATATAGGTCCAACTTTTCGAAGTAGGTTGCGATTTTTCAACAATATATAAATATGCCGCAACGGAAAGCAGCATGCTCGAAACCAAGTCTGCAATATACTAAAACCTCTCAAGGGCTTTTTTTAAAAACTTTTCTAGCGTTTTCGTTTGTTTCCAGTAAAGTATTAAAGAACAAATAAAAAAAATACTTCAAATTGCCTTTTAGCAGTATATTCCTTTACAGCATCATCAGGTGCTATTTTCCATGAGGTAAGAAAACAGAGCGGTAGAATTATAAACTAATTCTTTTTTTCAAATTTATTTTCATTTTTGGACAAAATAAATGTTAAATTTACTCTCGGACTTTACAGTTTACTGATCTGTAGTGAGGAACGAAATTAATAAGTAGCACCATATTAATTAGGTCAACGATAAGGGTAAACACTTAACAATAATTGGAGTAATTACTCCGCAATGAGATCTTGACGATCAAACCTGGCAGATACCTCATTTATACATTTTCCTTTGCCAAAACCTGTGATTTAAAGCTTGTAGTCGTCAAAGCTTACAAAGTGTCCAAATTGGTCACATCCGGATTACATTAGTCTTTTTTGAGCGTTCTAAAGCACTCTTAAGATCATTTGGCTCTTCAGTACTAAGCCCTCCCTGATAAGAACTTGAAGTTGAATACTCTGTTTACCTGGACAATTTAGTTTTTGAGGTAAATCATACCTACTGCTCGTTTTCTACAAAGTGAAGTTTCTCAGAAGTGATAAAATAGTTGTGCACGATTTTTCTCTGATAGAACGTGGTCTTCATATAAGACGGAAACCTATTTAATTTTAATTTCGTCAAAAAAGAGCAAGTAGGGTAAGTAAATTGAAAAATTTAATTGAAATTTAAGGCGAGAAATCAATATCAAAATTTGATTTTTTTCTCTAAAATCTTACGTCTTATCTCATACCGTGAAAAAGTATTTGTTTGTTCGAACATTCTGAATGTTAGTGGAAGTCGGATACGTCGCGTTGACGCGTGCCTTTTATTTCCTTCTCCCCGGGTCTAATCGTCGCTTGGCTGACATAAGGGCGTAACTACACATTGAGATGAGCCAAGAAAAGCATTGAATTGTATGGAGCCCAGGGTTCATCGCAGATTGTAGTTACGCCCTTATGTCAGGTAGGCGACGAAATGTACTAGACAAGCAACCACTGCATGAAAAAATGTGGACGCCTATTAAGAGCACTTCTCAAAATTAAATCCTAAGACGAAAATCATGAGTTCATAGAATTTTTTATCAATTACTATGTGCTTACATCCAAACGTAATTTTTTAGGCGTATTTAGAACCATCCCTGAAGCGTTGGCGATATGAATGAAAATTAAATGATAAAACGGAATTTAAAGGTAATATTAAAGAGATTTTGAGGGACACACTTTTAAGGTTACAAATCAATTGGATGCTCATACCCTACGTCTGAAATTTGAATGTAGGGAGAAAGGAAAAAGTTGTAGTGATTTATCTGTTTTCTTTTCTTCGCGGAGTATACTGAGAGACGAGTTTTACCTAAAATGACTAATATCTCTCATTTTTTTTTGGAAATAAGTAAAACAAAAATTATGATTAATAATAATAATGAAATCACTTTTTTATCCATATACCTCTGATCACATAATTTTTTGTCAACCACGTCATTGTTTCAACGGCAACCACTGGTGTTTTGTCCACTTAAGGTAAAGAGTTACTCAGGTTTACGATGGAAGCTTTTTTTATCATGATCTCCAAAGAAAAACCCAAAAATAAACATGCTCCTTCTGATCCGAATGTGGTACATGTATTTCTGCGTCTCGTAAGAAATGTGCAGAAACCATTGATAATCATGTAAACACATGCAGTGCAGACGATCCCATCAGCCGCTCTTCTGTCCAGGATTCACACGGACTTCAAAAGCGTAGGAAATGAAAAATGCACTTGGAATATTTTCTTGCCTTGCGCTTTACTGGTTTCAATCGATTATGGGCCAATTTGATCTGGGAATGGAAGGAGACAGAAGAGTAATCGTTCAACTTTTTCAATGGCCTTTCGATGACATTAGACGTGAGTGTGCAAATGTCTTAGGCCCCCAAAAGTTTGGAGGTGTTTTGGTGAGTATAAATTTGATTTCCTATACCTCAAAGCTTTTTGAATAGTTGTTGGTGTCGTCCGTTGAATGTGAATGTAACTATAGCCAGCAACAAATTTCATTCAATAAATTAATTTGGCAATAGGTCAGAGCACTCAAAAATATTTCTTACAAAATTCCAATTTGAAAAAGTTGAGTTTTAGAAGTTTTAAAACTCGAGTCCTATTCATAATTTGTATTAGAGAATAAAAATTTCCCTGAAATGTATTATCCTGAATAAAACACATTTCTTAAAAGATCACATTCCGTTCCAAGATGTAATTATTAGAATTACCTCCAATGTGCTAAAATATAGACCTCAATTTTTAAAATATGTTCATATGTGGGCAAACCATTTTGAAAATATTAGCTCGTGGCTGACATTTTCATTCATTTGATTCTTTTCTTTAGACAGCGCCTATCACTGAAAATGCTGTGCGCAAAGTCGTGGTTAATGGCAGAACGATGAGACCTTGGTGGGAGGTTTACCAAGTTGTCTCCTGGGACATTAATTCAAGGCATGGAACCGAACAACAGTTTAAACAAATGGTTGAAGAATGCAACAAAAATAACGTCAGGTACGTTAAAACAACTTAAAATTCTCGATTCAGATTCCTGAGAATAGAAAATGTACATTATGACGTGAGCCCTGTTATGCATATGTTCTTATGGGTCTCAGGACTCATGTCTTAATGCACATAGTTCCGATTGACAGAAATACGTCCAAATAGTGTTCCTTTCTCACCATAGGTGAGCCGTCGCAACCTTCGCCGTAAAATCATTACTTGCTGAAAAATTATTCCAATTTTACTACTATTATTTCTTCCATCTCCTGTGCATGAACCCGAGAGGAGTGCAAAACATGTCAACAACTACGAGACAAGGTGCAAATTTAAGCACTATTATGTATGTTATCCCATCAAAATTTATCGTGAAACACGATTTATTACACGACAATTACTAAGAGTAACTCATAATCAAGATATTTATGTTTTCCGCTGAATAAATTTAAACTTACCGCTCACTAAAACACCAAACTCTTCATCTTCTTGAGTTAAATCTCCTAATAAACATTATGCCGTGACAGTGTTTGCAGCATGAAAATATGGCAAACTTAGTCTCGGCGCGCCCGTGGCACGCTGCATGCGGCGCGGCGCCTACAAACCTAACAGGGATACTTCGCGCATTGCGCAATGCGTGAAGTATCCCTGTTAGGTTTGTAGGCGCCAATACGCGACTGCAGGTCTCGCGCTGGCATCACGCCGCGGCGCGCCGAGACTAAGTTTGCCATATTTCCATGCTGTAAACACTGTCACGGCATAATGTTTATTAGGAGATTTAACTCAAGAAGATGAAGAGTTTGGTGTTTTAGTGAGCGGTAAGTTTAAATTTATTCAGCGGAAAACATAAATATCTTGATTAGGAGTTACTCTTAGTAATTGTCGTGTAATAAATCGTGTTTCACGATAAATTTTGATGGGATAACATACATAATAGTGCTTAAATTTGCACCTTGTCTCGTAGTTGTTGACATGTTTTGCACTCCTCTCGGGTTCATGCACAGGAGATGGAAGAAATAATAGTAGTAAAATTGGAATAATTTTTCAGCAAGTAATGATTTTACGGCGTAGGTTGCGACGAATTACACACATTCCAGAGACTTTTGCGTATTTTACCCTCTTCTTGTACTGGAGAATACAGGATTATGTTCAAAGGTCACCTACCACCCCTGTAACTTTTTCCCTAATTGACATGGAAATTTGAAACTTTGGGAATGTTCCCAAAGTTTCCCCCTGGGTATACAGCTGTAACAACTTTTTGGTTCCCCCAAAATCCTGGGTGGTGGCCCACTAATATGGGGCCGGGGCCAACAAATTGGTACTTTATACTTGGAACCGAACAACAGTTTAAACAAATGGTTGAAGAATGCAACAAAAATAACGTCAGGTAGGTTAACACAACTTAAAATTCTCGATTCAGATTCCCGAGAATAGAAAAGAGCGCAGAATATTGAGAATAGAGAATTCAGAATGACAAATTGGTCGTTTTCCTCTATAGGCTTTAACAGAACGCCTTTGTATTTTTTTCATCGTTTGGGAAACTTTGATTAATTCCTGGAAACATGTGATATACTTTTAAATCCGATATTATTATTCCATACTAAGTGAGTAAAAGTAAATAGTAAAGAATTATCTTTTTCTTTTAAATATATTTTTTTTTCTCAAAAAGAAAAGTTGACATTTGCCGTTATAGGGATGTTTCAAATGAACGTTTCGACTTTTAGATTATTAAACTGGTTTACCATCTACACGTTTTACTGAACACGAGACTTGTTTTAGAGTGTACGTGGATGCTGTGTTCAACCACGGTGTCGGTAACATTGATGGTGGTGATGGCGAAGTGTTGGGCGTTGGAGGAACTCATGCTAATGCACACACTAGAAAATATCCTGGCCTTGGGTACACTGCAGAAAATTTTCATAAATCGTGCCTAATGGACTGGGAAGATAGAACCGCTGTAAGTTTCGATAACCATCTTGTAGCACGTACCACATTTTTTTTTATATTATTTTACTCATGTTAATTTTTTCCTTAATACTCTTCGAGCAGGTATGCCCGTCGAAGGCATGTCGAAAGTAAGAGTTAAATGACACGTGCTTAAATTCTTCATGTACACATGGTTTATTTTCCTCTTTTTCAAAAAAGAAAAATGAAAATGAAATTGGTAAAACGCAACATAGAAGTGTTGCAGAAGGGTGCCTGTAAATAGTCAGAGAAATATGAAGTTACCTAATTTTCACAACGCATCTTAAACGTTCTAATGATTGAACAGGTTGTTAGGAGTCAGTAAATATGAATGCATTCGTCAGTAAGTAAAAAAAGAGCTACTAAAAAAAAATCGTTCTCACAGTATTTAAGTTATTCCGATGTATATCTATTTGTTTTTTGAAGCAATAAGAGAATCTAGAGAAGTTGGTAGCTGCGGTTGCCTTGATATAACCCTCCTCTAGTCATAGGCGTAGCTAGGCTATTTTGCTGGGGGGGGCCTGGCCCCCCACCACCGGGGTGTGGGGGGTATGGAATACCCCCCAGGTCAGCGGGGGGTCCGGGGGGCCTCCCCCGGAAAATTTTTGAAATTTTAACTCTATTTGAGCGCATCTCGAGGCACTTGTGGCGTTAATCTTCCTTCAATTTCTGCATAAAATTCACCCAGTTTTATGCATTTTAAGGTTAAAATACTTTGAAATTGTTGCATTCAACAGGTTATTCCATTTATTTTCTCAGAGACTTACCGTTAAAGATGGTGTTTTTGCACCATCCAGAATTTCTGGGGGGGGCCAGATGATACTATTTCCAATTTTGTGGGGGGCCAGGCCCCCCCTGGCCCCCCCCTTCCTACGCCACTGCCTCTAGTTGAAACGTCTATCAAGACAACGCCAAGTTGACATGACAAAAATCACCTTCTTTTGGAATAATTAACAATGGCGCAGAAACACCACGAATAAAATTATACGTTGTTTTAAAAAAAATTCAAAAAAGGCAGAATTGCTTATTTTTACCTCATTTGATTTCTTTACCTCATTTGATTTCAGAATAACGCCCATTTTTAAAACGAAAAAAGCACTCTCTTCCTCTGGCCTTTTGTGGTTGACTTATTTATCATTGAAAAGTATAGAAAATAGGAAGGGTGTACAATCTACGTTGAAATGAAATAAGAAACTTGTCTTTAAAGGATAAATTTGAACTCATGATGGTCATCTTTGTCAGACAAACTAAAAATGGATCGTTCATGTTATTTAACATTTTTATAGGACATTTTTATTGGATATTCTGTGCAATAGGAGGGGATTAACTTGACATTTCGAGACATGATTTTCATTAGGTGCTCATGAAAAAATAAAATGTGACAAAAAATGTGAAACGTTATGAATCGAGGTCCATATTTTCCAAATTTCACAATGGATGTACTCTGTGATAAAAAAGTTAACATTGCCCCCTCCGAGGTCTTAATAGCTTTAGTTACTTATGAGTGTGTTGCACGCAAGAGGTCCATTATTTTATCCCACAATTTGTGCATCATTTCCAGGTTCGAATTTGTGAACTTGCTGGCCTTCAGGACGTGAATCAAACGCAACCTTACGTTCAGGATAAAATTGTGGCATTTCTCAACAAATTGATTGATTATGGCGTCGGTGGATTTCGGTGAGAAATATATATAAAAATGGTACATTCCTTGAAGAGATTTATGAAAGCTCACATGATGATGACAATGGATCCTCAGCCAACCCCAATAATTAAATCATCATAAAGTATCATGAATCAAACTTGCATGGTAATCGTATGTACTGTGCGCATTAAAAATTTGCAAGTTGAACTTGTAAGTTGTAAGGATGGGCTTTGCGTCCATCAATATTACATCGAAATTAATCGATTCAAGCGTTCCGTTTGGGGCAATACCGAAACAAAAATAAACTTAGGTCAAGTCGGCTATCGAATACAAGCTAAGCGTTCCGTAGATAATTAGAGTTGGATTTTATTACAATCTCCGATTTCTTGTAGTGAAAAACACAATCGGGGGTGATTTCACGATAAAAGGAATAGTCCTGTCGCCGTGGGTTACAAACTACTTAGGGCAAATCGATTGAAAACCAAGTTGATAAATCAATAGGAGTGATGTTCTTGTACTTATTTATGGTGAAAAATATGATAAATTATGATTGTATTGAATAATATGAGACTTTAAAAGCCGAAAATTTCCGGTCGGTTACGCGTCGCCAACCCCGATTTCGAAGCAAAAGAGCAACTTGCGTTGGGAAATCAGTACTGATCATGGATTCCTTGGCAACATTTGCCAAAAGGAGACGCTAATGTTAAAAAAAAATTGCCTTGTTGAACTGAAATGTTTATATTTAATCGAAAAAAGTCATTGGAAAGAAAGTTGCCACATTCGGCAACGTATTTTTGCAGTTGTATAAGAGGCAGTGAGGCAGAGGCGCTGAAGTAATAAGTCGGCTTTTTCTGCACTGAAAAGTTTAATTTTTATGAAAACCAGTGATGTTTAGGTCCGTAGCATTCATTACATACACTACACAAAATACTCAAATTAATATTATTAAACTAACAGGAAGTCCCCAAAGATTATAAACATTATACGGCAGCTTTAATTACACCTCATATCTCAAGCATTGCCAAGTTTCATCTTTTGTACAATCTTTCATTCCACATTTTCAAGTGTCGATCACGCTGTGTCGGTTACGTAACCGACATCATTTGGTAGTGCCAGCATGTTTGCATGGACCTCCAGCAGTCCCGCGGAAGGGGGGGGGAGGTATTTGCTCTCTATTTTTACATGACTATCAACATATTTGGCAGTATAATGACTTAAAAATCTTTGCCATTTTTTTTTCTTTTAAATCAGACATTTCTCGAAATGGTGTCTCAATTCTTTTGCAGGAATGCTGTGTTATGACGACATGTGTAAGATTAAGGTTGTACTTTTTTGCATCAGATTAGCCATTTGATGGCAATTTTTATGTTAAAGTTAAAATGTTATATAAGTATCGTATTATTTTATTTACATTATCGATTTTTTTATTTTTTCTTTTATTTGCACAAGTAATTTAACAATGTACATTAAACACTTATAGACATATTATAATGTCTTTCAAAGCTTAATTAAACTGTAAGTAGAATTTAACTATAATATACATTTTAAAAATTTACAGAATCGATGCAACCAAGCACATGTGGCCGGAGGATTTACGGAAAATTTACAACCGATTGAAAGACATTTCTTTCGACAATGGAAAAAATTTCATCAGGCCTCCTTGGATGTTAGAAAATTTTGATGATGATGGTGAGGAAGATAAAACAAAAGAAAGGATCATAGAATTTCTCCCACAGCAAAATTCAAAAGATAACATTTCAAGGGATATTTACTCAGGATCAAAAGAGCACAAAGTCACTTTTCCCTAACTTCCAGAGAACTGCAAAACTAATCGCAACTTTCTTGCATATTGCATATTTACGAGCTGAAGTTTAAAGTAAGGCTTGAAACCAGTGTGATTAGACTTACAATTTTCAAAATTACAAATCAATATTATTACGCGGATTATTTCCTAGCGGGAAATCTGAATTTGTATAATTTTTATCCGAATTTTACCCGTTATTGTATATCTTATTAAAATTTGCCCTCTTTTCAATTCAACACATTTCTGATATAACTTTAGACATTTGTCCGGAGGACGCGAGATGCACACAAACTCAAACTGCTGTGGAAGTTTTTACCTATGTTATTCAGAAGCGAACGAGTCTCAATTTTCTGAGCCCTAAACCGAGGCTGCATTCTCGGAAAAGTATCAAATATTATCTCAAATTTTGCGTACGTTTTTGGGGCGAAAAGTGTGTTCAAGTTTGAATTGGAGTAAAAAAAGAAAGAAAGAAAAAAAAATGAGAAATACAAATAATATAATCTTTTCCTTCGAAGAACCACTAATTCTATGACCAAACGTAATTTTCAGGGGATTATCAGGAGGATTACAAAGATGTAGGATCAGAGTACGATTTTTCTTTTATGAAGCTACTGACTCCTGCTATCAAGAGTGGCTCTGTAAATATGTCAACCATCTATAATTACGGTAAGTCAATTTGGGCATTTCAATGAAACATATTTATCATTATATTCACTCTCCACATAGTGTATTAAAAATGATTATACCTACAATGAAATGATATCAGGGTACTAACTCTACATGAATAAATGTACGATGTACTTAAAGATCACTTCCTCGCAATGAGGCAACATTGCATGTAACATGTGCACGAAGGAGCAACAGAGTAATGCCGAGAAAAAAAAACCAATCTCAAGTGTCTGGAAAAATTCACTAACGATGTAACATACTTTACATCTCGTGCAGCGTGCACTCAAGATAAAATGTCTACAGGTCTAGACTTCAAAATCTCATTTCAGCATCGGTTATAGCACAGTTTTAAAGCAATGTACCTCATTAGTGTTCAATAGAAACATGATAGTGATTATTTTTTTTTTTAACATGAAATGGGTTATTAAGCCATGAGAGACTTTTGACTTAAAACAACATTTTTCCAAATGTAAATTACGCTTAAAACACGATGCACACATTAAAAACGCAAAAAAGTAACTCAGAAATCGAGTAATACGCAGTTCAAAAAGCGAAACTTTTCCCCATAAATAAGTTGCCTAGGTTTCAAATAGTGCCGAACCTATAGTAATGTCATCCGGCACCAATCAAAAGCTTAAGCATGGGTTTCTACGACTTCCGTCATACGTCTTTCTGCTCCTCGAATAGGAAAGTCAAAAATACAAACTACTATGTTCGTAGAATCAGAAACGAATCTCATTTATTTTAATTGTGGTAAACAAGCAACATCTCCACTTTAAAATAAGTTTTATTCCAACAAACATTGGTGAAAACGAGAAGAGATAGCAATTTGAAGCGATTTGACTGCCGTTGCACATCACTTCCATCATTTTCCCGCCATTCCAGCGCGTTTCAAACTCTTTGGAGTTTATAGACTTTTCAAAAGCGGATTTCTCCAGTATTTTGGTTTAAAAAACGCAAAAAATCACCGCAAAATTTACTGCAATACGTTGTTTCTAAACTGAGCCGGATATTGCAATTTCTAATTGCAAAATGTGGTCCAATTGTCCATGCCTGTAACTGAAATAGGCCACTGAAAACATGTGTGTACCGTTTGATATTTAAACAAGTTGGAGCCTCAACCTGAGCATGGTATAAAACACTCACCAATGCGGTGGTACCAGTCTAGTTTAATTTTGGGAATAAGGTTTCCTTTCCTATTGGCAGTCGCATGATAACGTAAACATGTCTTCATTCGTCTTGTTTTTACAGTAAAAAGTCCTACTTATTTAAGTAAAACAAAGCAAGATTTTGGCACAAATCACGATTTGCAACGCTGGCATTGGGCGAAAGGTTTTGCGGAATCACCGGCACATACAGGAATACAACAGGTAAGCAAACTAAATACCAGCTTCTTCTCAATAATAAGCTCATTTCCATTATCTTCTTTTTCTTCTTCCTCGTCTCCAATCTCCGCTTCCTTTCTTTCCTCATCCCCAGCTTCTCGGATCTGAGACCTTTTTCCGCGAGGCTATTGAGCATGGCATCGTCATATTAAATCATTTCTGAGATACCCAATTTTGCAGACGAAAATCAAGCTCATTCATCTCATGTGATATTACATTGCAGGTGATCAACGCTTTCCTCTTGACGTTCTCGAGAGAGGTGCCAAACATTTTCTCCGGATACCGTTTCGCGTCGACAGAATTGGATGGAGGACCACCTTCGGACGAGTTGGATAATATTATCTCTCCAGAAAATTGCAGCCACGGTTGGTTGTGCGAGCATAGGCACAAGCCTCTACAGTGGCTCGTCAAGTACTTCTCGAATCTTGTCCAAGGTATGAACCGTTGAGTTGTTGCTGATAGAGCAAAAGTCATGTTCTGCGATCGCGATCGCGATCGCGATCGCGTTATAGTTTGTTGATTTACTTATGTAGATGAATTTTTTCCTATATTTTCAAAATTTAATCGCCGTAAATCAGCCGTTTTTCCATTGAAAGTTGTGAAATAAAAACTTTGAGTTGCATTTGGACCGCGTTAAGTAGAAAAGAACCAAGCCACATCAGCTATCGCCAAAAATGACGGGTAATTTAACTTTTTATTTGTAAACGGTTGTGCGAATTTTTGTGCAAATTTTACTGAATTTTTCGCACAGTCCAAAGCAAATTCCTTAAAATTTTCAAAGGAATCTGCAGAAACGTTCGCTTGTAAAAATGTGAATTACCGGCCCAGTTAAATTTTGCAATAGCTGACGTGGCTTGGCTCCTTTCTGCTACACGCGCGGTCCATGTATATTGTATAGTTGCGTCACAATCAGCTCATTTCATCAGGAAGGTCCTACATGGCTTACATTGTAATTGATGGAGGTCTATTTTCGCAGTTGAATAAAGTCAGCTGTATCTTTCTTGAGAATTAAAAAAAAAAAAAAAAATGGAAAAAAAATTTAAAAAATTAAAAACACAGACTTGCTTCCATAGTTGTTTCATAATCAGCTATTTTCATCAGAAAGATCCCACATGGCTTACATTGTAATTGAGGAACGTTTAAGGAGATCTTTATCATAGTGTAAGAAAAGTAATTTTTACAGAATTCAAGGAAAACTCATTAGTGTGACTTCGAAAATAATTCCTTAATAAGGATTACAATGATTTGCCACTAAAAAAGAGATACTAAAGGAAATATATGTATTATTACAGGTTTTTTATAGTCCTTGGATCCCCCTTCCCGGCCTATGCCACGCCACTTACGAGTTTACGAAAATGGAAGGCCAAGAAAATCGAAACGCGAGAAAATGAAAAAGACCTGCGTCATGGTCCTCCTATTATTTTATTGTTCAGACTTTTATGTCCAAAACCTTGTTAGCAAATCCCTGGTAAAAATTGGCAGTAGAATCTGTGTGCCAAAATACCATAGACCTTCAGCCGACTGTAAGATTTCCAATAGCTTCTATAGCCGGCAACACAATTTCTTATAGCCTTTTATAGCCGATGGCGATTAGGCAACAGCCTGACGATAAAGTGTATGCTATCCGTTAGTAATTACGGATGCTAGGACTTAGTGAGTTTTTGGACTACTGCTCTCTTTTTGGGCCGTAGTATCTTGATTTATTTTGCGAAGGAAGCTCCGTACTTTTGAAGGATACCTGCCATTCCTAATATGTTGGAGCGCCTTCAATTTCGCACGATACTGTGCAATACCTCTGGTGTGAAATATTGCTTCAAGCGCAGTGGTACGCTGCGACGCAGCGCGGCGGGCGGTCAGCCAGCGCGGAACGCGCATCGGCGCCTACAAACCTGACAGGGACACTTCACGCATTGCGCAGTGCGTGAAGTATCCCTGTTAGGTTTGTAGGCGCCAGTGCGCCGCCGCTCCGCTTTAGGTTAGGCTCTAATATTTAATCTCGTGGAGTCAGCGTTGTTCAACTCATGACTTTGAAATGTTTGCACACTCTATATGGATTATTCTCATTTTAATTGATGAAAACAAATATGTAGTAAAGGAAAATATAATGTGCGTTTTGTAAATATTATGGTGATTCCGTACAAACTTGCGGATTTTCAAAGCACACGAATTTCTACACAATTTATTATATCCTTTTATAGCCGATGGCGAAAAAGCAACAGCCAGGCGATAAAGTGTAAAACCCCGCTAAAAGAACTTTAGCCCGGCTGTTTAATTTTTTATCGCTTCGTGTAGCCCGGCCGTATGATTTTTTCCACTTTCTACAGCCAGCTATATGATTTTATATCGCCTCCTTCAGTCGGCTATAAGAACTCCTATGGTATTTTGAAACGCAGCTCCCATCGCCAATTTTTACCAGGGTAATGTTGATGTTGTATTTCCGTTTCAATATACATACTTTACTATGTTCTCAACTTAGACGCACCCGTCGAATCTTGGTGGACCAACTGGCCAAATGGATCTCCTCAGCAAGCTGCGTTCACAAGGGGTCGTGACGGCTTCGCAGTTTTTAACGCAGACACAAAAGCCATCAGTCAGACTTTTAAGGTAAAACGTTTGAAAAAAGTATGTTACCGACATTTTTAGATTTTAACATTATGTATATTTTCTTCGTCTCTGCCCTGGAATTGCGTCCTGACTATTTACAAGTAAATTGAAATACATTCAGTATTATTTGCCAACATGAACATTGACTTTGAGCTCTACAACTATCAAAATATTTTGGTGACATAAATTTTAAGTATTGGTAGATACGTGTATTTTTATCATCTAAATGTGAAAAAAACTAAACCACTTGAGAACACCATTCTTAGAATTTTTGTTGGTTATGTACAGGCTAGTTGGTTACATTGAATGGGCAAAATTTCTTGGAAAAATATTTAAGTTTAAATTCTACAGTCATAAATATATTTCTCACGTGAAAGACTAAATGCATAAAACCAAGGTGTTGGTAAAACTTAGTGCTGACATTCAAATCATAAATTTCTATATTTACAAAATATTAATTAAAAAATAAATTGTGGTATTGGCTCATCAAAAAAAAAAAAATGATAGGTGTAAGTTTATAATTTCTAAGGATAGACACTAAACTCTGGTTACTTAGACTTCTACTAGGAGATGCAGTCCATCCCCCAAACGATGCTTTGCGCCTTATGAATGCATTTTCTTAGGTCAGATTTAAAAACCTCAAAGATAGGGGGCTCTTTTAGAGGTTATTGCCCGCTTTTAGACCAGTCTACCTGTACAACGAACTGATAAATTATGAAAATTTAGGAGGTCAAAAGACTTGAAATAATGTATGATGAGATTTTAAATGCTATTTAGCAAACGATCATTAATTTATCGTGAGAGTTCAATGATTTGGAGGTATTGCTGCCAAACAGAACTAAAGTCAAGTGGGAAAGATTGGGTGTGCTCTAGAAAGCTGTATAAGAAGCTATGTTAAAGTGGGCGTGATTTCCTTTGGAGAAATGGAAAAGCTGAATTTTATATTCGGTCAAACGGCACTATGTGCCAACTGAATGCGACATTCATGAAACGTGGGCATGGCGAAAGAGCGTTGTGAATAGGACTCATGAGTTAATGACGACCAAGGGCGACAATGGAGACGGCTTCGTTACCGCTGACGTCACCGGCGCTTTACAATTCCCATATCCCATTCATTCCTACGACCCTTGGCTATCGAGCAAACCCCTTCTTTCCCACATTTCTCTGGTTCCGTTTGGCAGAACGATATCTGTCGCAGGCAAATAGTAAAATCAGGCATTTTGTCTAATGCCTAGGTGAACAGACAATTATTTTAACTTAGATTGAAATTCTGATTATTTTCCTAATTTTAGACAAAATAATTAATTGCTCCTCTGAGAAAAAATTCTCAGTGAAATTTGCACCACAAGATAGTACTCGTATTTTAAACAATTTTTAGCTCTTGAGCAGACACTTATCACGAAATTTACAGCATGTCATAAAATAAAACATTTTTAGGATTTTGACAGTTAAAAATATGAGAAGCAATTGAAGAGGAAGAGACAATAAGAGTTCGTAGATTTGATGAGTTATTTTTGCAGAAATATTAAAAACTCGTGAGTTCTTTGCCATAAATTCACAAAATTTTATAGACCGTCAAAATTTGACTATACACTGGAAAAAACGACAAGAAAAAGTACTCTTGATTCAATCAGAATCTAGCTTAAATCAAGAGCCAAGCCTCTTAATTTAAGCGGATTTCGTTTTGATTCAAGCAAAAATCCGATTGAATCAAGAGTATTTTTTCTTCAGTGGCGTAACGGGCGCCCCCGCAGACCCTGCTATGCAGGGGGGCCCGGGCGCCAAGGGGGCCCTCGGCCGTCGGAATTTTTCTTTCTCTCTCTCTATGATGCTTAGCTTTGGTTTCAAACTTTGGGCCTTTACTTACCGAGATGGGGCTTCTTCCTCTGATTTTTATTGTTAGCTCAGGGTTTTTCATACTTCTTTTGGACTGTTCCTAACTTTTTTTTTTTTTGCTGGAGGGCCCCTGCCTTCCAATTTCCACTCAGAGATAACTAATTTTTTTTTCTTTTTTTGTCACTTTTCGTATTTCGGGCTTTGGGAGATACAATAATCTAAAGGCCCCCCCAAGGCTCTTGGGGTCTTGATCCTTGGGCCTGGGCCCCTCTGTAGATCCTTGGACCTGGGCTGGGCCCCCGCCACCCTTTAAATCCTTGATCCTTTAGGGGTCCCATATAATCGGGTACGGGATCTGGGACGGTGAGGGGTGAGGCATTCTAAGTCCAAGTCCGTGATTTGAGATGCCTCGGGCCAAAAAATGGGAAGGGGTGAGAGGGGGGATAATTTTGGAATTTTATCGACTTGGGGGGGGGGGGCTAGAAAAAATTTTGCAGGGGGGCCCAGCGGAAGTCCGTTACGCCACTGTTTTTCTTGTCAATGTTTTCAAGAGTCTGGACTCTAGATCCAATGTGTTTTTTTCCAGTGTCTGTCTAGGCATTTGAAAAAATGCCTGATTTCACTATTTGCCTGCGACATATCCATTTCTGATCATACACTAAAGGAAAATTCTAAATTTACCGACCGTTCCCCAAAAAGTTGAAAGCGAGATCCGTGTTCCTCCGTTCAAATCAATCCAAAGCTCAGCGACGAACGTGAGAGCGCTGAGAGTATGTCCAACAACGAGTGCAATAAACGCAAACGCCAAATCGTTAAGGGTGAAGGGTCTTAAGGGTTGTTCCTCTCCGACGATCGGCGAGGGTTTGAAATCGATCAGACCCAACGTGAGATACTCCTCCATCATCCGCTTCAGAAGGCCCGTCTCCAAAATTTGAACGACTTTGTGGTTGACGTCCTCGTAGAAGAAATTGTGCTTCGGGAACCGAAACGCAAGCGAGTACGAGTTCAAGCATTCTTCCACCCTGTGCAGCTCGAACCAGTCGAGGGAGACGAAACTCTGGAGTTCGATGTTCCTCGCCGACAATAACGTATGGGGTATCGTCACCAGGAACGCATCGGTTTCAACCGCCGCAGTGACGAATTTCTTCATTTCCGCTGACTTATTAAAAACAACGGGATCCATCCCCAACTCTGATATTGGATTCTCATCGCGAGGGTCTTTGATGTTGAAAATGTCCACCCATAAATCCCAGTTATCATCGAGCGTTTCGTACAGAATCGACTTGAGGAAGAAATACGTGTCGCTGAGTCTCTTCTTCTCGCCCTTGAAAAGGGGCACGTTTTCCAGGAACCTGGAATAGGAGGCGGTGTCCGGCACCTGGATGAATAGGTTGGTCCGGGTGAATTCTTCCAGAGTATCGACTTCCGGGTACCGCACGTAGTTGCTCAGCATTCTGAACATGCTGCCTTGAAATGTCGTGACGATGATGATCGAGGCGAAAGAGAAGACTATAAAAATCATTTTCCCGGTCAGGAATTCGCCGAGGAGCAAGCGGTGAGGACAACCGCAGAGGAAGTAAGCGTAAACGGTGAACACGGCTGATGTAGTTTCGAAAGAGCGTAAAGCCGCCTCGCTGTAGAAACTCCGGAACTCTCTCACTTGCAATTTCAGGAACAGATACAGGAGACACACAAAGGTCAGGATCATGGCGAAGATGAGCGCCCAAATAAAGGTCGAAAAACTGTAGAAAACGGCAAATGATTGGGGCACGAATCCAGCTCGAGGTGTCGCCAAACACAGATGGTAGGACTCCATGCTCGTCGTGAATTCGTACTGAGAGAACTCAGTCTCTGCTACTCCAATCCCACGGGTCAGAGCCAAAATATCGATCCCGAATTTCTGAGCCAACTGGAAGTCGCTGATATCGACGAAGGTGTCGATGATGACGTCATCGCCGATCGGCGTGATGGAACAGTTCTTCTCGTCCGCGATCACGCCGGTGACTTTCATCAAGACTTGGTACCAGAAGAGGGGCCAGTAGGTGAACGTGTCGCCGCCTCCGTGGGGTCTGGAGGTCGGCACGAGGATGTGGAACGACTCGCCGTTGAAATCGGGCCAGGAGAAGTTGAAATACCGCTCGTCACGGAGACCCGTGAAATGGACGATCTCTCTCGTGAACGGGTTGTAGGTGAAACAGATCTCCGCGAAGCAGACCACGGATTTGAGGCCTTTGAAAAAGCGCCAAAAAAATCTGAACACAACGCGTAGATCGTCGAAATGACTGTAGTTGCCGATGAGCGACGAGGAGTTTGTAGCCAGGCGGATGTCTCGCGAAATGTGGCGATTCACATTACTAACAGAAAAAACTAGATAGTTCTTGCTGTTCCAGATGTCGTGAGAGTACAGACGACGAGTGACCTCGTATAGGTCATCCGATAGTATGGAGCCGTGTCCTAGTTCGGAATCATTGATGAATAAGGGTGATCTTCTAGATGAATTGAAAATGTCCGATCCAGAATTGAAGCTCCCGATTATACCGCAATACGCGGATGTATTCGGGTCGTAAACCCTCTCGATATTTGAACCGTAATCGTTTCTTGTAGAGTTTGAACAGTACAGGGCGTATTTCTCAGCGCGCGCATTCTCTTCAAAATGATGCTCGTTGACCGAGTCCAGGATGATACTCAAAATATCAGATACGGACTCGACAAAGAAAACTATATTTTTGGGGTGGAAGTTTGTGTTGTAACAATTCAAACAACGAGTATCACCTAGAATAGTCTGAATTGATGAGTTATGGAAATTCTCGATCAGTTGAGAGACAAATGGGTTTGGAGCGTAGCTGAAGACATATAGCAACGGTTGATTAGATTCTTTTACTGTACTTTCGGAAACTTTGAGAAGAAGTGAATTTAAGTTTTTACCGCTCTTTTCCGATGTGTGGGGAAGAGCTTCGTTATACCGCCTGAGAGCTAGCAAACTCAGGAAGAAATATTGCCACCAAACTGGATAATAACTCATGCCAATTCTATCAATACTGTTTGTCGACTATCAAGAGCTATGATTCGCCTGGTGAAATAATCATGCAGCTTTTCTCGGAAAGTTCTCGACAAAGAGATTTTACCTCCTAGATCAATAATAAAAGAGCACGTGGTGACTTCGCAAATCGCTGTAGTGTAGTATTCGCTTTAAAAAAAAAAAAAAAAAAAAAAAAAAAAAAAAAAAATAAAAGCGATCGTCTATATTTAGCATCATACTTCGTGTGATTTTCTCGATACATTTAAAAACATTCCCTGGAAATTTAATGCAGAGTTACTCAGTAATTTTCTCTCAAAAACACAAAATATGGGCAGAAGTCTGAACTACCGCGATCGACATAGAGATTTCTGATTTCACCATCATGGACAAAACGTAAGCTCGCGATCATAGACCATTTGCATACCTAATCACCAAAACCAACTTAGCTATGTATGACGTCACTCTTCTTACATAAGGGCGTGTCTCTATTTTTACGAGGGCCCCGGAAAGTATAGAGTTATACGGAGAACAGAGCTCAAGTAGAAATCGAGATAGGTCCTTATGTCAGAGGAGCGAAGATGTATCTGTGTTATCCTGTGAGTTTATCGGAGTACACTATAAAGCTCAAAATGCACTATTTATACACCACTTTTATAAAATCTTCGTTGGAATTCAGATTTCCATATAAAAAAGAGGTTAAGTTTAATATTTGCACTACTTAACCCAATGAAAGTGTTAAGTCGAAATAGACAGTTAGAAATGAGTCTTATTCCATTCGCTGGTAAATTGGTATCACGTTAAAAAGCACAAATTGCTCACGATTGAAAGAGAATAGAATGGGGGTAAATGGTGAAATTTTTTTTTCAAAATCTGGCCTGAATGGAGTACTGTCTTGCATGCTCCTGATTTTGTGAAATCCTCGAGGCGCCCTCATTTTACCCTGCACAAGTTTGTTTACTTTCAAAGGTTCACAAACTCACAAGCAGAACTTATCCTTCTTGCAGTTGAGTACCATCACTTCGTTAAAAATGTATAAGACATCCTATCTGTTCATGATACGTGCAGGATATTGAACGACCGATATTTCAAAAACTATGAGGACGTATTCTCATGCTGTCGTGCTAAGGAAGAATGCCGTATGAACCTCCAGACGGTGCCAAATTTCTTTTGATAAAACACGAATTTCCTGGTAAACTTGTGAATGGGTTCTGGTTCACTTCAACCTTTCAGATAATTTTGCTCGCAATTTCACCTATAGTGCCTGCAAATTTCAAGGAGAAAAATTCATAATTTTCCTCAACAATGGACATTTTATCGAGGGAAATTTGGCAACTCTCGAATGTTCATACGCCATTCTTCCTCAGCACGGCAACACGGATCTCAGGGCTCATGTCAGAATGGATATAGTGCTTTTTATTTAAATACGTCCATAATAACTTTAAAGGTGGTTAAATTTTGATGATTATGAATATTCAATTTTAAGCTTGATTGGGATATATCTATAGGGTACGTTGGAGGTATACTCATATTGTCTTGAATTGAAGGAAAGGAATCATGCAATAACAAGGGTGTGAAACTGCGAAAGACACAAGTAAGACGGATATAATATTTTATTGAAAAATTGACTTTAGTAAAAATCAATGCTAGTCACTTTTGGGTCACTGGCACATGATAAGGCGTATGTAGGTTCATTGATAGGATCTTGCAACCGTAAATAGAAACACATAAACACCACAGTCAATTCCCTTAATATTGAGACATTTTTGGTTAACCTAATTTTAGTGCGAACCGCGAAATTTGATTTTTAAAGTAAGCGTAATGTACTTAAACTTCATTCTGAGCAACTTTCATGCGTGTCGTAAATTGTAATTTACGAGGTTTTATCCTTAATATATTTTAATCAATCTCTAGGAAGAGAACGGACATGTCGAAATATGGATGCTTTAAAGCCCATAAGGACAGGCTTCTAACCCGGAAAATGTCAATGCCAATTTTCAGTTTCCGATTTCAAATCAAGATGGCCAAGAATGTCCAAAAATAGACCAAGTTTATCAGAAAGGAACCTACCCAAATTTTCGAAAAAATTGAGTTAAGATAATATTTCTGAGTTTCATTAGCCGATTATTTTCTGCCGCCAAAAACTGAGAGTCTAAAAACAAAAATTGTTTTGTGAAAAGAGGGGTTAAAGTTCATTTTTTACATCGAGCCTCATGCAGGAATAAAACTTGAAGCCTCTTTTTCTCAGTTTCAACCTAATGCGGGGTGGTTTCTTTCTAATGAACTTGGTCCAAATGAGTTTATCCGCGAAAATTAGTGAATTTATGCAAAAACTAAATCGAATGCGTGCTTCACACACGACGGGTCGCAACAGTTGTAATAATGAATTACTCTGGATAAGTTAAAGTTATAGGCTAGCAGCCGTTTTGGGCTCTGAAAGCTCCATGCCGAAACCTCAAAATTACCGACATGTCCGTAATATTCTGCTACGCTACGGAAGGACGCAGTATGAACCTTCAGGCGTTGCCAAATTTCTTCTGTTCAGATACAATTTTTGAGACTATTCTGTACGCAATTTAATCTAAAACATCTGAAATTGTTGAGGAAAAATATACATAGATTTCGTCAAAAATACATGTTTTATTCGGGGAAATTTGGCAACTCTCGAATCTTTATACAGCGTTCTTCCTTAGCGCGGTAGTATTCCTATAAGCAAGCAGGATAAGGAGGAGTAAGGAGCAGTGATCGCGATAAATAGCGATTTTATCGGTTGGCTATCGCGATTATATCGATGGCAATATATCCAGATATTATCGCATTAAAAATTGCGATATATGGCGATGAAATCGCTATAAATCGCAATCTTTGCTTCGATAAAATCGCGATCAATTTGTGTCTACAAAATCGAAATTAAATCGCCATTAATTGCGATTTTTATTTCGAAAATATCGCGGTTAGTTGTCGGGCGATAAAATCGCGATTTTATTGCAACAAGATTGAGGATAATCGCTCAGACGTTGATTTTCCTGGCGATTTTATCGGCGATAAAATCGTAAAATATCGCGATTTTTCCGTTCAAAAATGCTACTTGGGTAGGTACTCTAAATCTTAGTTTCGTAAAAAAGTTTCCTGCATGGTGCCTTAGCCTTCCTGGTTCTAAATGTTTCACCTTCTCCCTTATCTATCTCTCTGTTTTGAAGGTATCTTTACCACCGGGCGTCTACTGTGACCTTGCAACCGGTTATTACTGCCACCACCATCAGATGTGCATGGGCGTAAAAGGAACAACGCAGAGGCAAGTGGAAGTGAAGGAGGACGGCACCGTAGAAGTCTCTCTACCCGGGATGATACGGCCAGCTTCATCCGCAGGCGACAATGTAGTGCCCTCCGAGCCTCCTTACCTCGCCATCAGTATCAAGTCGATGATCCCACCACGAGGCAGCGAAACCCAAAATGACCTGATTGGAATGATCGGCTGGATCGTGCTGGGCATTGCTGCGGTTGTGTTCATTGTTTTGGTCTCTTGGTTCTTGCTCAGGAATTCCAAATCGAAAAGAGGCATCGATATCAAGGAATGAGGTTCATCAGCAGTTTATGATTATAATTCGGTCGAGTGATTGAATCAAGTATCACTGGAAAAAAAAACACATTGGATCTAGAGTCCAGACTCTTAAAAACATTGACAAGAAAAAGTACTCTTGATTCAATTAGAATCTAGCTTAAATCAAGAACCAAGCCTCTTAATTTAAGCGGATTTTGTTTTGATTCAAGCAAAAATCCGATTGAATCAAGAGTATTTTTTCTTGTCAACATTTCTAAGAGTCTGGACGCTAGAACCATGTGTTTTTTTTCCAGTGAACGTTGTTTGTCTATGTGAAGTTCAGCCTTGGGTCCATCATCAATAGCAGCAGAAAGAGACGAGCAACATGTAAACAATCTACAAGCATTTAAATTAGCAAGTTTTAATTAGCAGCAATACTGCCGTGCTGAGAAAATACGCCGTATGAACCTTCAGGCGTTGTCAAATTTCCTTTGATAAAACACGAATTTCCTGGTAAACTCATGAATATTTTTCTTCCAATTTCCAGATAATTTTTCTCGCAATTTCAATAAAAAGTCCTGAAAATTTTGGGGGAAAATAATCATAGCTTTCCTTAAAAACGAACATTTTATCGAAGGAAATTTGGCAACTTTCGAAGATTCATACGGCGTTGTTCCTTAGCATGGCAAATTAATACCTTGGTCCAATCACTCAACCGAATTATACATTCATAGATGCAAGATGCGACCCTTCAAAACAAACCTATGACTACAGGTCAAATCAGCTTCCAGGAACGAAAATGGGAACGAAAAATTCCCAAAAATGATCGAGAGCGCTCCTGGGAAGTATCAACAAGGTTCTCGAGAATTATCGAGTGATAGGCCCCATGAATTATAATAAAGGTTTATAAAACTTATTGAGAATGTTTCCGGAGAGTTCGAGAGAAAGTTCCCGACAAATATCGAGTGAAAGTTCCGGGGAAGCACCGAGAAAGATCCCGAGACATATTCAGCGAAAGCAGTGGCGTGGCGTGCTTTGCGATATATCGATTGTTATGCCATTTAAACCGATGGAAAAGGATCGATAAACAGGATGTTTGCAGCGAACCACCTAAACAATCGATTCTTCACCATAGGTTTAAATGACATAACAATCGATACATCGCAATTCACGCCACGCCGCTGAACGAAAAATCCCGGGAACGTTCCTGGCTGCTCGTCAAAGTGAATATTTATCGCGGATCTGTGATTCTCCGTCTTGCAGATTTCCGGGAAGTAAATTTTTTATCCCAGAATTCTCAAAGACGGGAAAGTTTTCACTCATGCTCATGCATATGACAACGCACAATTGGACCGCGCTAAGCAGAAATAAACCAAGCCACAGCAGCTATTGCCAAATTTCATTGGGCAATTTAATTTATTACATGGAGAATGTTGTGCGGATTTTTGTGTAAATTTCAATGCATTTTCTGCATGGTGCGAAGGAAATTCCTTAAAATTGTCAAAGGTATTCGCTTAAATGTTCTCTCGTGCAAAGTCCAATTGCTCAATGAAGATTCAATTTATCAACCGTTTTGAACCTTCTTCCGACAGACTGAAGGCTCGCTCTGGTCAAATCCATCCATTAATAATTATTGGACCGCGTTTAGCAGAAAGGGACCAAGCCACATCAGCTATTGCCAATATAGCTGATGTGGCTTGGTCCTTTTCTGCTAAACGTGGTCTAATAATTATTAATGGATGGATTTGACCGGAGCGAGCCTTCAGTCTGTCGGAAGAAGGTTCAAAACGGTTGATAAATTCAATCAGTGAGAACGAAAACACACCAACTCGAAAAAAAAAATGAATATAATTAAGACACATCCGAACCTCACAGTAGGTGAAGAAGTTAGTCTAGGAGAAAGATTTTTGGTGTAGAAAAACAAGTACTTAAAGATACTTGAAAGGTCCGCGTCAGAACAGATGCGCTAACTTCAATGACCTTTATAAAAATTGACTGTCTTTAATGGAAATTGAGCATTTTCGAGTAACCGAGTTGGTGTTTTCGTCCTCTTTGGTTCAATTAGAAACGGCTCGGTTCAAAAATATAACGGAACGATAATTAGCAAGCATCTGTTGTTGCTTACTAGCTATTTGAATGCGCATGTTTCTTTATTTTTTAAATCTAGTTCATTACTCGATAGCGTTCAAAATCAGCACATCGTCCTTACCAACGCAGAATGATCTTTTGATTTACCTAATGATTTTACGGCATTAAACAGAATCAGCGAAACTTTATCAGGTGATGCTCTATTTATTTTCCAATTTGTTTTATTCTGTACTAAAACCAAGCAGAATCCTACTTTGACGTTCAATTGATGTATGTATGTATATTCTTAAAAATCTAAAGAAAAATTGTAAGTTCAATTCAAGTTCTTTGCCGTCATTTTGTTTTTTCGTTATTTGAAAATTCCTTTCCTACAAAAAATATGTATGAAGTGTACATTTTCCATTATGCTCATAAGTGAACAATAAAACACATTAAAACAAGCAGTGAACTCCAACACAATGTGTTGATAAGGCGCGTCATTAACTCGCACATATCAACCCCTTTAGTTTTCATTTACAGAGATTTCAAAATAGGCAAACAGCATAAAAAGAGAATTCACGATCCAACACTGCGAGGTCAAAGACGCACCTTGACGNAAAGTAAAAAAAAAGAAACCCTCTCTAACGAAACACGGACTGTTGCAGGTCTTTTGATAATAGAGCACTCCAGAAGGGAACAATGGACCACTAGACAAGGTACGAATTTCAGCATTCTGATACTTGTTTCTTAACCAAAATTTTACGTAAAACACGATACGCGCAACGAAAATTACCGAAAACAACTCCTTACGAAGATATTTAATGATTCTCGATGCGTGAATTCAAACCATCCGCTCATGAAAACTCAATGCTCTACGTGATTCACATCGCACGCCAAACATTTATCATGACAGTCTCTGTGATATGAAAACCTGGCAACCTCAAACTTGACGCTTTTGCTCAGCTATAGCAAATCGCTTATAGTCTGAACAACACATGGTGGGAAATGAACATTGCTCGATAGAGAAAATTGCCGAAACCGTTGTAGTGCGCGATTTGACTCACGTAGAGCTTTGAGTTTCTTGTGAGCGGGCAGTTCAAATTCCTCGTAACCAATGTGAAATAAAAACGTTAATATCTTCGTTAGGAGTTGGTTTCAGTAATTTTCGTTGCGCGAGTCGTTTTCTACGTTAAATTCTGGTTAAGAAACATGTATCAGAATCCTTTAACTCGTACCTTGTCTAGTGGTCCATTCAAGCACGATAGGAATTTTTCCTCATCAAAATTATATGCAGAAAACTTTATTGAAATGAAACGCACATGGAATGTGATTATGAGAAATTGTGCCTGGAGCTTTACTCAGGAGTAAATAGCTCCTAAACAAACTATTATATAACCTAAGGAAGCTGCATATCTCAGAGACCCTTGAAACTATTTCAATCTTACCTAAATTATACATAACAATGGCTTAAGACTAATCAATTATTCATAAATCTGGTCAGCTTTAAATCTAATTAATCCTTCAAATGTATTCAACATTTTAGATGAATGACTTTAACCCTTAGATGCTCGATCGCCGGGTCACATTGACCCAAGGCCTGCGAAAAATGTGTGACCTTTGGGTTGTACGAGTATGAGGCCGGTCCATGTAAACTTTAGATATAAGTTTACAAATACCCTAGAAAAATAGACTTCTAACTACCAGGGCCGAATTTATCTACTTGCCGCTCATGGGCCGCCTGTATTTTGCCGCCCCCTTCTCATTCGTTTTGACAATCATCATCAATCATCAAATCATCGAGTGAACGTGTCGAAAGGGGAGGGGTGCATAATACGTGTTAACTAGTGTTGGACACATTTTTTGCGAAAGCTCTGTCAACACTACTAGCAAAAGTTGCGAAACTTAAGTTGCATAAACCTATCTCTGCGTGGACAAGGCCCTCCATTTATAAGGAATGAACAAAACAATTATGAAAGAAGAAACATAAATGTGGTCTAATAATTATAACGCCGCGCTGCGCTGACCGCACTGTGTTTGGCGCAATGTGTAAAGTATTTCTACAGTCTTGTAGGCGCTATGCGTTTCACGCCGACCGCTGCGCTGCTGAACGCACTGTGTCTGATACAATGCGTGAAGTATTCATGCGGTCTTGTAGGCGCTAAAATGTGTTACATGCCAACCGCCGCGCCGAGGGCTTCTCCTTTTCATCTCAAGTCCTCGTCATCATTGCTCTCTGCGCCGCGCCGCTCCAGACCAAATTGCGTGTTTAGTTCCGCTCTTAACTCGACTAATTAAAGGTGCTGTCTCTTGTATCGCGAAAAGAGTACAAAATTAGAAACTACTTTACTCTCAGGAAATGAGAGATTTGGTCCTCTTTTCTCGTTTGTACTTTTTTTCTGAATCAGATACTTTTTGTATACATGTATTCAAAGAAATTTCCAAATTTGCCGCCAAGAGCCGCGGCCCATGTGGAGATCACCTAAATCCGGCCCTGCAAACTATTTAAAAATAGGAGAAAAATCGAGTGTCAACAGTCAACACTGCCAAAAAGAAGATCTGTGGACGTATTAAGGTTCCGTTTTTTTAAATCTTTCTTCTGGATCTGAACGACGGCACCTCATTCGCTGTATAGAGCGGAACATTGCGAGTTCACGCCTCGAGCCATCGCTCCTTCAATGTCGCAGATGCAACACAGACATCAATCGAGCACGAATAGTTGTATTTTTGCGCCGTCATCAATGTGTATCCTTTCTCTCGTACTATTTTCATGGTGTGTTGCTTCCGTGCGTCTAATTTTCAGCGGTGCTTCAAAAGCTGATTTTTTTTTTTTTTTTTTTTTTTTTTTTGCGCAAAAAATTTTAACGATCAAGAGTTGATAATTTTTACTTCTCACATTACTTTAACATCGTATATTACCAGCGTCTCGATGGCAAAAGCACAAGATTTCCTATCTGCTATCTGATAATTTTGCAGAACGAATAAAAATTTCGATGTTTATATAATTTTCAGGTTAGATTTGCAATTTTTTTTAATACAGTACAACGTCATTACAGGTCTCCCGAAGAAACCAAAAACGCTGGAATGAACGAAAAACATCAGCTTGCGTATTTATACTGGAGAATGCGGTAATACCTCTTACTCCATTTTGCCAATTTTTTTAGTTAGGGGATTGTCCCTTAGCTCTCGCGTTATCTTTTGAGGTCGACCAAACTATTCAAACCAAAAGGAAAACTAAACAAGAGGTAACTGTCACAAGTTGGCAACCTTGTTTTAATGTAATACCTCTACTTAAATCCATTCAAAATAATTAATTCTGATTGTGAGTGAATAAGTTTGCGATGACTTACACATCGATTTTGCAACGCCTCTGAATTGAAAAAATCAAAGCTGCCAACTTGCGAGGACCGCTACAAAACTGAACCGGGTCCTGCGGGCTGATTGTTGAAAGTAGACAAAGCAATAGACAAAAATTACAAAAAAGAAATGGAGGGATCCTATTGGTGGAAGCGGGTGGTTACAATGGACAAAGGAGGTACTCGGGTAATGGGTAATAGACTAACCAACGGCAACCCACGGGCGACCTTATAGCTAGTCCATCGTTTTCTCCCTTTAGTCTATAGGAACCACCCATCTCAACAAATTGGATCGCTCCATACTCCTTATAACTTCTTCGTCTATCGCTTTTTCTATCAAATTATATTTATACTCAGCCCGCTGGTAACTTGTCTATTGGTTTCTAGCTCACAAGGAAGTGGATTCTCTGTTTTCAG